AGCTAAATGGAGGTGTATGTAGGTAATGTGGTCATCAATAAGAGAATGCAAGTTTGTTGCCTGTTATTCTCCTTTTTATGCCTCTGAACTGTGACTTCATGAAGCCACAACCAGCAGAAGGTGCTGGCACACTGAGGCTCCCCAGCCACCTTCCAAGATTCAGGTAGGTGAACCCACAGCTTGACAACTGTTTGCTCTCCTTGGTACCTGAATGACTGCTGCAGGAGGTGCATCACTGTGCATGGCAAACACTGCACCAGGGCACTGCTGGGGAAAGGAGAGGCAACCAAGGACAGAGATCCCGAGCCCAAGTGCCAAGAGGATGGTATAAGAGAAGCCAGGGAGAAAAGATGGTCTTTGCTCTGCCCCTTTGGGCTGTTTCAGATTCCCCAGGATCCCATTATCACCAGTAAAATGATAGTGGTCTGCTGATAACTCAGAGGAGCTGGTTATAAAGTTTAAGGCTATTCTGATCTCTTTCTGGCTGGCTGCATAAAACAGGTCATTGGATTTTGCCCAGGAACAGAAAATAATTATATATATATATGTATTTATATTCTGTCCTTTCTCGGAATGTACTTAGCCACTATCTGATCTGCCTTTTTATTGACAGCTACTTCAATTAACTTGGAAAGAGTGTTCAATGAACATAGGACATCTACTCTAACCTTGAACTGCTGAATAAACCCCCCTGCATAAACCCTTTCTCTGGGGTGCGATGAAGGGAAGAAAGGACGTAGGGGAACTGTATAAAATTTACTTTGCCTTCTTAAATGGCTTTTGTGCTTCCCATTTCCCCTCTGCCCTGAATCATGGTAAAAGGTTTATAACTGAATGTCACAGAACAGAAAAACACATCCCCACACTTTCCTAGTCAGCTTAATACATTTTTCTGGATACCTTCAATTATTTCAAGGCTGGTATTTGTAGAAGCAGACAAACATGCCAACTCAAAATACCTATATCATACAAAAGAGTAAAAAATGTTGCTTTGAAAGCATTAAAACATGACTTTGGAGAGGAGGGGGTATAAAGAATCATTCAGACTGTGAAACCAAGTAAAACACCTTTTCCTCATAACTAAATCCACTTTGGATAACTTAACCATTTTTGAATGACAGAAGGTGTCAGTGGAAGTTCCTCTGTAGCTCTACCACAAAGGTGTAAGTGCAGTCATGGGCAAGTCTGGGTGAGAAAGGACCTCAGGAGCTCCTCTTGCCCAACTCCAGGGCCAAAGCAAAGTCTGCTTTGGAAGCAGATCTGTTTGTTCAGTGTTGCAGAGTAATGGTAGATAGGGATAGGTATTACTTTATCTCTGAAATTGGATCTCCTGGGCAGTTTTATGGGAAGGATGTAGCTGATTTTATTTCCAAACTCTGTAGTCTTTAATGAACACGTAGGATTTCAGACATCCAGGCTGTAGAGGTTTTCAGATAAACTTTTCCAGTGCTATTTCAGCTCCCTGGCTGAGTATTAACCAGCCATGGAGGCAATGATCCATGAAAATGCTGAATGCTGCCTACTGACTGGTGTACAGTGAGCACAGGGAAAGGATATTTAAATAAAAAACAAACCCTAACAAAACATGCATATGAGCCTTTGACCAAGCACACATCTTTATGCAGCTTGTAAAATTATCTGGAGTAATGCGTGTGCATATTGTGTGTAAAATCATCTCCCCTGGGTGCACTGGCTGCTGCAATAGGTCAACCAAAAGCTAGAAAAGATGAGAAGAATGGATTACAGCTTCCCTGCAATTGGCCCAGCAGCACAATAAATTCCTGTGGCCCATCTCAAGTAGCCGGTGCTATTAGGCCAGGCTACCTATGGAAACTTGTCTAGCTCTTTGTCCCAGCCCCTAGTTCCTGCTCAAGGAGGGACACTGGTTTGCTGTATGCTGTTGCAGTAAAAGCATGCCAGGCTCTGGCTTGAGGGCAGCTAGCAGAGGGACATTCTGTGGTCTAAGACCCTGGTTCATGCCTGTGACCTCACGTGTGCTCTTTGGCCTTGGTGCTGTCTCCTAACCTGGCAGCTGGTGGCAGAGAGGGGCTTATCCCATGACAGGAGCAGCTGCACCCTCTCCTAATGAAATTGGGTGGCTTTTGGCAGCTGTGTGGGCACAGCTGGGATCATCTCCCCCTCATCTGGTCTCTGTGATCAGTAGGGAGTGTGAGGTACGTGGTGGTGCTTGCTTGCTCTCTAGGCTGCCATGGCTGTGCTGTGGAGCTTGGAGGAGAGCCCCAGTCACCTTGCTGCTGGTGCAGGGAGAGCAGATGATGTCAAGACAGCAAAAATTATATCTCCTAGAGCAGGAGCATCTAAAGTAACGAGACAAAGCTGACGAGGAAAATGTGGCAGGTTGTGAATGAAACTGCTGTGTGATGGAATCAAGAGGTGAAATAAGGATGTGACAGATAATGTGTGAAAAGCAAGTTATGTGGCTAAGGTATGAAACAAATGTTGGAGGGGCCTGTAGTTACATGCTAAACTGGATAGAGAGACCCACAAAGGGAAGAAAGGACAGACATAAATTAGGTTGTGGGGAATGAACCTTGGTTGTGAACCAGATGTCAGCAGAGCAAATGTAAGAGGTGTGCATCAGACAAGCCCTCTTTGCCAAGGGATGGAAAAGGTTCCTCTGTCCCATGGGAGGAGGGATCCAGATCATGCTGGGACTGCAAATGAGATACATGACATGAGTTGTGATGGAGGCAGTCCATGGATGCACAGATATCCTTTGGGACAGTACTAAGAAGAAAGGCCATGCTCCCAGGGTATGGTGATGGGGAGGACAGAGCACGGGCATGACACAAGATCTAAAGATGGGTGTTGTCTGAAGTAGCTGCTTGGCATGTCCAGGAACCGAGTGGATACTGCAGGCAGCAATGTTTGCTTCTCATCTATTTGCAAACAGAGCTGCAGCAGAGAGGTCTGAGTACCTGTCCTTCCCATTGCTGGTACCAGCTGCATGTTTGTCAGGATGCTGAGAATGAACCCTGAGTGAGGTGGGCAGGAGCAGCACTGCTCTGGTGGAGGCTGTGCTGCCCGAAGATGCTCAGGCTGCTCCTGCCAAATGGCTGTCAGCAGATGGGCCCATGGGAGCACTCAGCCCACATCTGCTGGGAAGTGCCCCGCTGTAAGCCCAGGCTCTGCATGCACTTGGGCACACACACACGCACACATATGCTTTCTTTTGAGCTGATGATCAGGCCCTTGGTGTGACAGGCCCGAGTTGCAGCCCCCCATTGGCAGCAGGGACAGTCTATAGCTGGCAGGCGGGCATGGGGGGCTGGTGAAGGCCATTGCCAAACTGGGCCCACCACAGACATGAAAAGAGAAACAGCTGGGAGCCTCTCCTCACATGCACCCCCACTCTGCTGCTAGTTTGGGCAAATATGGTATTTCTTGGAGGCATGCCCAGCTGGTGGAGAGCTTAGGGGAAACGAGCCAGTGGAAGAGAGCAAAACGTCTCGGTGGTTCCGAAGGCACAGCGTGAAAGCCGCTTTGCCGTGTTAGTGCTTTGGGCAGAGCTGGAGAGGGGTGTGGAGGTGATGATTCCAGGTCTGGCCATGTGTTCCCATGCAGCTGCTGCTGCTCTCCTCAGCAGCTCTGGGTGCCCACCCATCTCCCCACCCTACCCGGCAAGCTCCCACATGGAGCCGGGGCGCTGAGGGTGGATACGCTGTCCCCCTCCCACCTGACACATAACAAAAGCATTGGCTGGAGGTGGGTTGCAGGAGGGAGGCGAGGGGATAAGCTGCAGGACAGCTGGAAAAGGCAAGCTGGACAGATTTTAGCTCGTGCATGTTACCTGGTGACTGGGAAGCTGCAGCACTGTGCTCCCACTCCACGGCTTTGAAAGCTTGTCTCTACATCCTCAGATGGGGACCCTTTCTTGCAAGCAGCTGGAAAAGAGTGGGCAGGAATCAATCTGTGACCTGAGCCAAAAATATCGCCTGCCCCACAGCTCCTGAACTTCTTCTCGGCTCCTACAGGCGGGAGGAAGGGGGTGCTGGAGCTGCCAGGCACACAGGAGGGCACACGCTGTGTTGCTGGGGAGCCCTGCCAAGGGGAGCGGGGGGGTAGGGAGGGAGAGGGAGAGGACGGGAAGCTGAAGCCTGGGATATTTAGTGAAATGGAAACCCTGAACCAGAGGGTTGTGTGAGGCACTGCAATCCTCTGCTGGAATAGTCATGCAACTGTGGGGAGAGCTCTGGCAGCAAAACTGCTCCAGGCACCCAAGTTCCAGCCACCTGGGGTTGCCCTCCCTAAGAAGTCCTAACTTAAATAATGCTTTCATGTCATGCTAAGAAAGGCTTACGAGCTCTTCAGCGGCATTCCTGCTCTCTTGCTTTTTGTTCCAGGTCCCCTCAAGCCCTGGTGCATGGCAGAGCCCCAGCAGCCTCAGTGAGAGGTGGGTGTGAGCCACACAGCACTCACACACAGATGCACTTCAGGCAACGTGTGTGCCAAGTGCCTCTGCCTCCTTGCGTGCCTGTGGCTGCTGGTTTCCAAGAGCCTTGGATGTAGAAGGTCCACAGGCCTTCCCAAAATTCTCACCCTGCAGCACAGCCAAACCCTTTGCATGTGGAGGGGAGCAGGGAAGAGCCCCTGCCCAGGGGGGAGAGTGGAGGTTGCTGCTGTGTGTTGAGACGGGGAGATCCAGGCTGCCACAGCCAGGTTTTTAGCAGTGATCATGTACCACGGAGCTATGGGAGCCCCCCAATTTGCTTCTGAGGTGCCTTTGCCTCAGATACCCCTCTTTGAGCCCTGCCTGGTTGTAAATATAGAAACATAAGCCCTGGAGTTTTTTTTTTCTCCAAACACGTCCCTCCCATCTTAGCATCATCTGTGCAATTCCTCCATCTGCTCCTATACATGGTATGACCTTTTTTATCCCCTTCCCTTGCTTCCCCCGCTCTCTCACCCCTTCCCCGCCCATCCCCGCTCCCTTCCCCGCCCGGCACAGGGAGCCTGGGGCCAATCAGCTCTTCCAGACGATCAAATGTCACTATAAGTTGAGAGCTGCATCACCTTGGGTCGCTCGCAGATCCCAGCCTGCCCGTCCCCTCCGACAGGGAGCTCGGTGCTTCTCTCCACTCCTCCCAGGTAAGTGGGGTCCCCTGGCAATGGGGGACAGCACTACAGAAGGGATGAGCCTTGGTTTGAATGGAGAAGCACCAGGGGAGGGTTGGGGTCCACAGGATCTGGGATGTGACACAGGATCCTAAGGAAAAGACAGGTCTGAGCTTCAGCTGGGCATCTCCCAAGTCTCATGTCACCCACAGAGGTTTGGGTGCTTTGATCTCTCAAGGATTAGTAGTGGGAGAATAGTTCCTTTCAAACCAATATTTGGGACTGGAAATTGTTATCTCTTGGGGCAGTCAGGGAAAGTTCCCTCAAGCAGCAGGAAGAAAGTGATGACCTCCCCTGCCCTGTCACCCAGAGAAACGGATGGCTGAGGCAGGAGGTGTGAAGGGCAGACTATCAGGGAGCTTCTGGTGGATGAGAAGGGCTGTGGGTCTAGAGGGAGACCCAGGGAAAAAAAAAAAAAATGTGACCAAGCACACATCTTTATGCAGCTTGTAAAATTATCTGGAGTAATGCGTGTGCATATTGTGTGTAAAATCATCTCCCCTGGGAAAACTGTCCTCTCCCACAGGAAAGAAGAAAATTGTGAGTTTTGCATGGTCAGGCTAGCAAAGTGAAGGAGTTTGGAGTCATGAATATGGAGAGCATCCCATCACCATTCTGAATTTAACCCACTCCTGCTGACCCTCTGCACACACAAGGGATTTCTCTTGCAATTTTCTCATTTTCTGTGGGAGCGGAAAGTTTTCCATGAGCACATTTATATTTCTTGGATCAAGAAACATGGGGGTTTCTTGCTGTCAGGTGGTGGATATCCTATGGGGGCAGCAGGGACACCAGCACAGGTGACTCTGGGGCCAGCAGCTTGGGTGGGAGCTGTGCTGCTGGTGTGGGGGAGCTCCAGTGAGGCTGTAGGTGACTTCCAGGGCAGGCAGCCATTCCTCAGCAGGGCAAGACTCAGGGAGGTGGTGGAGTCCCCAAGAGATGTTCAAGAGGCACCTGGCTGAGTGCTTTAGGGATTACAGTGGGAGTGCCTGGTGAATGGTTGGACTGGATGATCTTGTTGGTCTGTTCCTACCTTGGTGATTGTAAGACCAAGGAAAGGCAGGAGATGTGAGCTGAGCATGGTCATTGGCTTTTTGTTCTCTGTCTCAGCTTTGATATCCCTGGAAAGCCCCTTGCAGGGATCAGACAGCTCATACTACTCTGCAGACAAGGATAAAGGGTACATTTTGGGATAGGGAATTGGGATTTTCCTATGGCCCTGCAGCAGTGCTGGAGTCCTGCTACTCTGTTTCAGCATTAAAGAGAAGTATATGCATACGTTTATATATTTACTAGTTATATTATATATAATACCCATCTCTTTTAATATGATATGTATGCATATTAAAAATCCATGCAGTGGGTTTGCAGTGGCTCCTGCTGGGAAAGAGTGGCTCTGTGGTGCTTGGTGGATCATAGCCCCAGTCCTTGCCCCAGAGCTGTCCCTGCCAGGTCCCTTTGCCCATGCATGGCCACTTCTGTGCTGCCCCTTTCCATATGGCTCTTGCTACCTTGCCTACCTTGTATGGCCTGGCTTGGGAGGGGATGATTGATGGGTGGGCTATTTCCAGGGATGGCCTGGAGGTGCAAGGCAGCCAATTCCCCCTCCCGGGTGCATTCTCAGCTGCTAAGAGGCTTCTTGGGATGTGCTGGCTCTGCTCTTTCAGCTGAGGCCAGGAGCATTTGGGGCCAAAAGAGAAATGGTATTCCTGCCCACCTGGGCAGGAATCGGTGTATTTGTCCTTTCAGTGACCTGCTTGGCTTGAGCAGAATGCAGAATTACATTTGCTTTCACCTTTAAGGGGTGTGAGCAGGCAGGAAGTTTTCTGTCTGGTGAAACTTTCCCATGTGTTTTTATTTCCTTCCAAAGGGTGGGCAGTATTAACTAATTGATTTTATTACATCCTTAAACCTCAGTCAAGACCAGAATCCATTTTTCTGCCACTATACAAACAAAGCCCAATTATTGCTTGAAGGTGTTAACAGCCTTAATCCTGGGCTGCATTTGCTGTGTGTAAAGTAATTTCCACCAAAGGCTAATCCCGAGCCAGCTGGAGACTTTCCATTGCCTTCGGGCAAACTTAATCCTAGCTGCAAAAACTGCCGCTCTTAACAGATTGCTTTCTTTATTGCCTTTTGGATGTAAATATAGTCCAATTTTGCTGGCTGCTTTGATGACAGAGTTAGCTATGTGGATAGTGCTGGGCATCAAAGAGCCTTTCTAGTCTTTGGTGGCTGTAGCTATGCCAGTCTGCATTTTGCCCCTGGCTTTAAGGGACCAGATGGCTTTTGAATGCCATGAAGTGGACAGACACCTTGCTCTTCTTGAAGCTAAACCTTTTTATCTTTCCAGCCAGGGCAGTGGCAGTCAGGTACTGCCTTAAATGCTAGCTTCTCCTGACAGAGGGACCAAACCTGGTTTAATTTTGGCCCTTGCAAGGCTGAAATCAGTGATCTTCTTCTCTATTTTTTTGTCCTCCTGCCCTTGCCAATGGGGCTCCTGTATCTGGCTCATCTTTGTACAGAGTCTGCCAATGCACTTATTATTAATTCATTTTAACTGGGGCCAAGAAATACCCTCAGGGTTGGGGGTCTTAGGGATGCTGGCATTCTCACTCTGCTTTTATAGCACCCGGACAGATGCCATGCAAAATCCCATTCGCATTTGCAGCGCTTGGATTAACAAATATGGAAGGGGGGTAGGGGAACAGCCAGTGTGACAACTCTCAGCAAGATGTCCTTAGAGCTAAATTGGAGACGAGATGAGCTCATTCCAGTAACTGCTAATGGAAAGCCTGATTGCAAAGGCTCCCATTGACTTCAATTGCCTTGGAAAGAACAGCGTGCACTGCGCTACGTGCCTGCCCTGCACTGAGCAGACACTCACTCTCTCTCTGCACACAGAGGGTTCTCGAGCTGATTTCTTCACCATTTAGTGGTATTACTCTTCTTCTCACTAGAATGAGAGAGGACTTTAGCCCACAGCCTTTTAAAAGTCCTTATTTTTTTTAATCCTCTACCTTGGGAAGAAGGAAAGCTGCATTTCTCAAGGCTTAATCCATGGGAGGATTGGCCATTGCCCTGAGTTTTTACAGAATATGTATTTTGGAAGAAGCCAACAGCTGGGCATTAGGCAGGTTCCCTCTGCAGGCTTTTGCCTGGAGAAGCTCTGCTGTCCTGTTGCCTAAACCAACGTGCTGTCAAGCATTATTACTAATAGCTTGAATAATTTTTGAAGGCTGAAATGAGACTGCTAACATGCTAGCCACTGAGGAGATAGCAAGTGCAAGTCTTCATGCTGAAGATTTTATGAAATCTAGACTGAAAAGACCAGGGGAGAGAGATCAGTAGTGTTGTAGCATTCACGCAATGAACAGAAGAAGCAGTGTAAATTGGTGAGCAGAAAAGGCTTTAAAGCTGAAATTCCTCACAAACACAAAATTCCCCCTGTTCCCTCTGCCTGGTAGAACTAGAGTCATCCTTGAGATGGCTGTTACAACCAAGGAGTGGGCAACCACAGCTATGAAGTTAAAAGCAGGCTGGGACCAAGAGACTACTGAACCCAAATCTCATGTGACCTGCCAGTAGATCACCCCTCCCATCCAGCACCTCAGGTCAGGCCATAACACAGACACTGCTAGCACTACTTCCAGGGCAATGCTGAAGTTCAAGAGAATAAATGAGGAGCTAGAAGAAAAAATCTTGGCTGTTTATCTCTCCTTGCAACATGGGGGTTCTAAATCCTGTTGATGGTAATGTATGGTGCCCAAGGTCATTGCTGGGGAATGGAGAGAATCCCTTATAGGGCAGGGTTGGAGCCTGTGGGATTACTGCCTTCCTCTGAAATAGAAAGCTGCTGAGCTGCAGTTGTTCCTTTTGAACCTAAGTCAGCCCACCTGCTCCTTCAAGATATCTCTCATATATCAGCTGAAAAATGAAGTCATGAAAGTTGGGGTTTGGGCCAGCAAGGAGAAGCCTGGCTTTCTAATTTAAGATCTGCTGTGGATTTGGAGAAAGTTTCAGGGGCCTTTCCTCATCTTCTCCCCTGGCCTCAGGGCAGCCGATGCTGTTAGGAAAGCCAGTGTTGCATTACAAAAAAATGGTTATATCAATGTGAACTGCCTAACTAGGCATGTGGCTGGTTTTCATCTTAAACTAATAATCAAATTATTGTTCACTCACTCATCAGTTGTATAAACCAGACACACTTTTGGGTGCTGACAAATAAGTATTTAAGTTTATTAGTATTTTCAGTTATTTTTGTAACTGACTGAGGTTTTGGAGCTGGCACCTTCCCACCTGTGGTAGCACAAAAGAAGGAAAAATTCCTCTGATCTTGCTCGAGCAATGGGAATGTCAGATGGGTGTGGAAGGGTACCGTGGCCTTGCCCATCTCCCTGAGCGCTGGGGATTTTGTAATTCAAAGCTGGGACTAGGCAGCCCCTGGGTCTGCTGTGGGATCAGCTGAATTGATGGGATATATCTTTCCAGAAGATATTTTTCTTTCCCCCTCCCTTTGTCCTCTGACATGGGTGGCAAAGGTTTGTGCTTCTCCCAAAATGTCAGTGTTGGTGGGGATCTAGTTGGTGTGTGGGAAAGCAGGTGCTTGGCTTTTTTTGTCCTCAAGTGTCAATCCATCTGCTTCTGCCTTGGTATTTTTTTATGAGGTGCACTCACTAATAACACCTTTTTTCTTCTTTTTCTTGTTTGTTTTCCTTTTCTTCTCTTTTGTCTAGAAACTAATTGCCAACATGTCTGATACCGAGGAAGTGTAAGTAGCGAGAAAGTTGTGTGTGTGTTTATCTGCTCAGCTTGGCTCCACACAGCAGACAAGGGCATCCCTGCAGGGTGCTGCTCTGTGCTCAGCCTGAAGCCCCCCGAGACAGTGGGGAAGGGGTATCTTGGCTTAGAGCATCAAAGACCCCTCCCTGTCCAACACAGGACGTCCCCCAAACACCTCCAGCCAGCTCAGCTTGTCCTCTGTGGCTGTGGCACTGCACCTGGAGGAGGGGGAATAAAACCCACACTGCAGTGATTTCTGCCTTGGTTTAAGAAATCTAGAGTAGTACGACCAAACCCAATGGGATCATTTGACATTTTTCCATCAGTAATACAGAGGGGAGATTTAGGGTAGTCATGGGATCAGAGGAATCATGGACAGACCTGCAAACAACAGAATTTAAGCAACATTGCATTGGGTTGCTTCAGTGTATGGTTTAAAGCTTGACATCAGTACAGAGCATGAGAAATACTTACCTAGTTTCAATATCCTTTTTTCCTCTCTCACAGGGAACAAGGAGAGGGTAAGTCTTAAATCTGTCTGTAATTGCTTCTGTGCAAGCCTGCAACATTTGCTGGCTGTGTCAGCTGGTATGGTTAGACAAATCTGAAGTTTCTTTTTTGTGCTTCTGTCTGCCTGACTGTCACCAGCTTCTGGGGTTTTTATAATACCTGTAGCACCCTGGCCGTGTCTGTGCTGTGGGCAGCCTGTGGCGTTTCAGCCCCAAATTGATGCCCTGGTGGGAGGGGACGCTGCTAGTTTTTGTAAGGGCACTGCCATCTGCTGGCAATTTATTTTGAAGCTTCTGTATGTGTAATATATTTTGCTTTTAGAACACAAATCCCCTCGATGTTTATAAAGCAATATACATAAGAGATTTTTCTTCTATTCAGAGGCTCTCTCTGTTACCTTTTCCCTTCTAATGCACATGTAACCTTGAGTCTCTATTGCCCAAGGAAAAAGTCAATACCTTATTATCTTCTTCCCCTTTTTATAAATACTCTTTTTTGTTTTCAAAGTCATTTAATCTGTTATTTGACTTGCTGGTTTGCAAGTGGCCTCTCAGAAACCATCTTGTCCGGCATCCCTGTGAGCACAGAGGGCTCTGCCATGGGTAATGTTTACTGCTGTGTCAAGACTGATGGTTCATTTGTCTGCTTTTTTTCCCCCCTCTCCCATTTCAATGCAGAGGAGTACGAAGAAGAAGGTAACAAAAAAAGCGGAACGTAATTTATCTTTCTTTGATTCTTGGTCCTGCTTTTCTCTTGTCTACATTTCACCCTTCTCTTTGGTGCTTGCTGCTAAAGGCGATCTGAAACACTTGATCAGCAAACCAGCTGGAAAACAAAAAAACAATCAAGTTTCTTGATCATTGCTGTGATGTGCAGAGCCTTCATGGTACAGTGAAATGGAGTATTTGTATGAGGGGATGGTGAAAAAGCTGGGGGCTCATCTGTCCATAAACTTGGAGCTTTTTAGAGCAGGGACTGGTGCAGAGCCCCCATAACATATCATTGGCAAACTCCTGCTGTTCTCATTTTGGCAGTGTCCACAAATTGCATTTTAATTTTTAAATTGAAAAGAAGAGCAGGTTGTCCAGCTCCTGAGGAGCAGCTGACAGGGCACTGCTGAGGACAGAAAAGGCAAGGTAGAGAACCAACTGGCAAAGATGAAGTTTCTTACCATGCCTTTAGCTGGCAAAATGGGATTTGACAAGCTGTGAGAGACAGAGTGCTGATCTGGAAAGATGGAGCATGAAAAACCCTTCTCACCCAAGTTGTTTCACCTTTTGTAGGCAGCAGGGAGGAGATTATTTTGGAGATGTATCACTGTCTTTGCTGGGCACTTTTGACACGCTGGCTTCAGTTCAGGCAAGTGTAGATGCCAGTTGTCATCATTCATTTTCTCAAGGTGTCTGGAACAGAGCTAAGGGCCAAACTCTTGGAATTTCTCCCAGGATCTGCCCTTAGTGTGTAAGGCATCTTCTAAGGGGGTCAAAAGGAAAACCCTTTACTGGAGGTGGAATATTTGCACATGCAGGGTATGAGACCAGCTCAGAGACAGAGAGCTGTCCCTATGTAGAAATGTCCACTTTGGGGATTTATACACAGCAAAGCTTTGTCTTTTTTTTTCCCTTTTTTAATTTTTTTTTTTTGTCATGGATTCCTCCAAGTTACTGCAACAGGCAAATTCCCATCAGTGGTGGTGGGAACAGAGGTGCAACTGTGGCCATGGTGAGACTAGTTTCTGCTTCTGCTATAAGGTACATTATCCTTAAGTAACTATTTCTCCCGGCATTGCTCCTGAACGGACCAAGGAATCAAAAAAAGAAAAAGAAAATAGAGACACTGAATAGGTTGTAGAGCTGCCTTCAGTCATCACCTGTCTCTCTGGTCCTGCATGGAGTGGCAGAACCAGGAAGGCAAAGGCATTTTTCATGCTCCATCCTTTACGTCTTGTCAAATGTCAAAAGAGCAAGCGAAGGGTGTTGCTCCTATAGACAAGCCTTCCTAAAAGGAAAAGCAGTTTTTTTCCTTTCTCCTTTCTTCCCTAACTGTCTACTTTTTGTTTTCAAGAATTTAATGACTCATATGACATTAATAGGCATTAATAGGCAGGTGATTTTCTTTTTAATCTGCATGACTGGCTCCTCTGAGGTGTATCTTCCTCTGCTCCATACTTTTACTTGACCTTTGTGTCTCTTTCTGATGTCATCCATTTATTTTCCATATAACATTTCTCCATCACTTTCTAACCACCTTTTTTCTCCAGGCCTTAGCTCACCCCAGCACCAGTTTCTAACAATTTTCTGTTTCATTTTCCTGCTTGCTGTTGCTTCTTGTTCCATGACACTTGCCACCTGAAGCTCAGGAAGAAGGTATGTGACATGGTTTCTGCTTTCTTTCTCTCTTAGTGTGGAGGGAGAATGTGTGTAAAGAAATCCAGATCAAATATTTCACACCCTGTGTCAAGACTCTGTCTTGAGCCACAGACATCAATGCAATAGTAGACATTGATGTTGTTTATTGAGCTGGTAGGAAATTGGGCCAATTTTATTTAAAAAATTATTGAAATTTGGCCCATTTTATTAAAAAATACTTTTATTTATTGAAAAAAATAAACCAAAGCATTTATATATATATGAAAGAAATAAAATGCATAGATATATACATAAAAATTGTATATAATATACACATATAAATATATATGTGTGTATATATGTGTATGAAAGCAAGCATATATATATATATTTGTTTTATTATACATATTTTACTGAACAGCTTGACTTATTTTTGGCACAATGGTGTCAAAAGGAGTATTTTAAAAGGAGGGAGACACCTACAAAGTTTATATTCATCTGGTAAAATTCAGGAATGAATTTATTTGAAATTTCAAAAACTGAAAAATGTTGGTGAAAAATTTTGAGAAAAAAAAAGTGAAGCAAAAGAAATGTAACAGTTTTATTTTTGGTTAAAAAATCACCAACAATTGGATTTAAGGTATTTTAGCCAGCTCTAATAAAGAATAACATACTGGATGCCTTTTTATGTGGTCTTCACTTGTGGTCATATTCCCATATTTCAGTAACATTTATAACCCCATAATATGCCCATAAAAATGTTATTTTTAATTCTCTCTTACCCTGTAATTCCATCATTGTGTATTCTTACCCATAACGGCCTGGGAGCTTGGTAAACCTCAGGAATGTTCCAATAACATATTTCCTGTTTTAATTTTTCTCCTCCCATTTCTTTTGCTGTGTGACCTTTGCCACGCACAGAAGAGGCTCAGGAAGAAGGTAGGTGAAGCAGCATCTCAGCCCTGCTGGTTGCTGCACCAGCAGGATGATGTGCACCTCGATTTTGCAAGGTGGTAGAACAAAGCAAGAGACAAGAGAGATGCTGGGATAAACTATCGGAGGGCTCTTCTTGCCTCTCGCACAAATTTCACTGAGGGTACCCCACATCCCTGAATATCTGTGCAGACACCTCTGCTCCAGTTTTGGGGAGGAAGCGGCACAGAAAATGTGGATACTGCCCCTTTATCCAAGACACAACATGCTCTGAGGCTGATTTTTAGCCCTGGGTATTTGTGTGCCATGGAGTAACTGGGGTCTGGCTAGAAAGGTTTCTATCAGGTGTCAACTGGTTTCTCCTATGTAGCTTGGCAGATCATGACCAGATGGGTTTTGAAGTCAAAATCCATCTGTGGTAAAGTATGTGCTTAGCCCTATGTTATATAGTACATATGCTATAAAATGTCATATTATGTATAAAATATATGATATATTATAAGTTAATGAGCTATAATATATCATATGATGTATAATATACATAATACTGCAGAGTTATAACCATGTAGCTGCTGGTAAGTAAGCCCAGCTGGCTCCTCACATTGCACACAGCATTGGCAAGGTGGGACAGACAGGGTGGAAGAGGGGCTGGAACAAAAACTCACCCTTTGCACTTGAGAGGTTTGGGATGTGGTGCTCCAGGTGCAAGGAGCCAAAGGGTGTGTTGGTTCCATATTTGCAAAGCTTTGTGCTATGGGCATATTTTAAACAGGGGTAAACCTGTCTGTAGTGCCACAACAGACCCACTCTGAGCAGTTTGCAGAGTTTTTACAGCATCCAGGTCCAGATGGTTTTACATTTCTTGTATCTGTGTGTGCTCATTTCATCTCCTCCTCTGTTTCCTTATTTCATACATCCTGTGCTTTTTAAAAAAAACCCTCTGTTGCATTCACACGCTCTCTAGTCTAACTGCTCTTGTTTTCCATCTCATTGCTTTTGCTTCCTGCCACATCCCACCTGACGAAGCTCCTCCAGCAGGTACGTGCCATCACCTTCCAAACTGCTCCCTGCTGTCTCCTTGGTGGTGGTGGTGGGGCCTCAAGGGTGGTGCAAGAGGAGCAGTACCAGTTACTTTGCCTTTTTGCTTCTGCTGTCTTTGCTTTCCACATCCTCTCTGTGATGGGCTCTGCCACTGGAACACACAGGAATAATCTCAGTGTGAAGTCTGGCAGAGTTGGCTCAGTGGCTCTGCCACCCCTGCCATGTGCAGGGCTCACCCAGCTGGGCAAGGGCAGGAGCTGTCCTCTAAAACTGAAACCAGAGAGAAATTCTAGCATGTGATATTTGAGCTTAATGTGAGATTTTCCCTGTCTGATACATTTTTGCTTTTTCCCTTCACATAAAGGGAAGTTGTTTCTCAGCCACAGGTGCCTCAAATGCCTTTCCCCTCCTGGCCATTAGCATGTTCTTTACTGGGATGAAACTTTTCCCCCTGAGCAGAATTTTCAGCCTATGAAAGGTTTTCAGCCTATTTCAGCTCATGTAATAATGTATTTCTCCTAATGTTCCTTTGCATCCTGTCCTGTGGCTGTTCACACCTAAAGAAGCTCAGGAGGAAGGTATGTGACACAACTCCTGAATTCTTATCTTTAAGAGTAAGCTTTGGCTTAGCCAGCAAACCATAAGATGGCAAAAGGAAACAGAAGTTACAAATAGGCATATTAATATAGACAAAACTTGCCACCACGTTGTTTTTTGTGCTGTCTGCCATCACGTTCTGTCTTGACATTGAATGCACTGTCGATGTACGTGGTAACTGTCGCATGAAGTAAAACCTTGAAAAATGCTGGGAAATGCAAACCTCTTAGAAGGATGAATGTTGAAAAGCCTTTACTCTGAGATTGGTTGGATCTCCTTGTCAGGCTTATTTTGGACCATTTGGGGTGGATCTGGCCTGCAGACTGTGTGCAGAAATGCTCATGATTGGCTGATATTCTTACAATAGCCTTTCCACATTTTTTTTTCAGCTTAAACCCTGTAGTATAAAGCAAATGGTGATAAATTTGATGCTTTAGCTTTGCAAATGGTTAAAGATGGTATTTCTGTTCATATAATGGAGTTTCTAGGCCACTGTTTCATGGCAGAACTTGCAGCTACCCAAAACCTGCTGGCCTCAGGTTGTAAATCCACTTGGGCAAGCATCAGGGTTATGAAACAGCGTGCTGCTCCTGGCTCTGGGCAGGACTGCAGGAATGGCTGTATAAGACAAATGTAATCTGATATGGCTGCTTAAATCAGCTTTATATTTCTAATATCTCAGACCATTTACACCCTCACTGCCAGTACTGCTTTTGGTATCCATACTCATTTTATTTCCTTGCAACGTATTCTTAGTCTTTCCCTCCCCACTCCACTTTGCCCAAGTGAAAAGTTGTTCTGATGCTCCTAACGCTCTCATCTCCTTTGCATTTTGCTCTGTGACTTCCCACATGCTAAAGCTCATGAGGAAGGTATGTGCTATGACTTGTGAATTCCTGTTTCTGTCTGGAGCAGTAACTCGTGCAGGAATTCTGGAGGTGGTTGAAGATGAGCCGATGCAAAAAGTATATTCTGCACGGTTGCTTTGCTCTGACAGGATAGTGGTGTGATGAGCAATGAGTACTAACTGCTGTTTGAAAACAATGCCTGGGGCACAGGCTGGGCGCTGCTTATGTATTCCCCAGCACCTGATGGCTCCAGCCAGGCTATTTGTATGGACACCAGTTGGTATAGGGATAGTGTCCCTCAAACCATTTCCTCTGTGCCCCGCCCCAGGGCTAGAGGTGGGACAGCCATGTCCTGAGGCAATACTGTGTGCCTCAGCTGGGTGCACCTCTTCCCCAGTTCCCCTGTCACTGCACAGAGACCGAGCTCCCTTTTGCAGCAGTGTATGGAGATGTGGGGGGACTTGCACCCAAAATCATGAGCGTTTCAACAAGTGACACGGTGTCATACCTGGTTTTTACTGTTGGGGTAAGGATTGGACTGAGTGGCATCATTTTGACTGGAGCATATTTGAGAAAAGCTGTAGTGTGTGCTTTTCCCATACCTATTGGGGTGTTTCTGGTTTAATGAGCATTATGCAAAAAATGGGATGGCAGGGTTGTATTTTTACTTGATTTTGTAACCAGAATTAAGGTCCAGATATGGTAAGACAGTCTCTGTGACTGGCAAAATAGAAGGTCATGCTTCTTAAAGCATCAGCCTGGCAGCCGAAACCCATTTACTGCAATTGCCCTTCTGCCTGCCCCTCTCTGCTTGCCCAGTCAGGCTTCCATGGGATGTTTTATCCTGCAGGTTGGAGAGCAGGAACTTGCTCATACTCACCCTCCCACACTGGTGTGCAGCCCTATGCACCTGTGGTGAAATCCTGGGCACCAAGAAAATCAATGCCAGCTCCTCAGAGCCCATTGATTTCCACAGTGGCTGGGATTTCTATGCACATGAATAAGAGCAGGTTGTCTATACCCCTTTTGCACATTCAAACCTATGGGTAATGGACTTAATTTAAATACAAGTCATGTTTTTGTCAGCCAAAGGCTATAGTGGCATTTGATTTATAACATTATGAATTTATATGTTAGTCATCTGCATTTTTATACTCAAACAACCCTTCCTCTCCACAATTCTAATTGACATTCACATGTGCCCTCTATTTCTCACTTAATCTTATTAATGGTTTTTATCCCTTTAATACACCCTCCACCACCTTGGCAAAGGAAAGTGTAAAGGTTTTTAATTATCCTCTGTTTCTTGCTCTAATTCTCTTATTTTTCTTTGCATCTCCTTCCCTGCTACTTCCCTTTTAAAGAAGTCCATGAACCAGGTATGTGACTTCTGAATTCCTCTGCATCAATCTGAAGGGTTATTGTGTGCTGGAAATTCAATTCCACTTGGCAATTTCACAATTGGGTCATGTGCTGAATTGGGACAAAATGGAAACTTTTCAACCAACAAAAAAAAAAAAAAAAGGAACACTTTGTTGACAGCTTTTGAAAATTATGCTTTTTATTTAGTTAAAACATTTTGTTCCAACTTTTTTTTCCCTCTCTCCTTTATGGAAGATTTCCAAATTTTGAAATGAAAATTCTATTTTAGATGCCTCTGAAGCATTGCCTTTAAGGATAATGTGGGGTATATATAGTGTAATGCAAGAACAAATCTGGAATAGGAAGATGCCACAAGGCAAAAAGTGGAAAAGTGTTGTTCAAGAGATGTTAATATTTCTGCAGCCTTTATGGTTGTGAAACATTTCTATTTTTTTAAACTAAAATCTCAGCTATGTGAGTTTTGAAATATTGAAATTTAATTTAAACTCTGATTTATGTTGGAAAATTTTACCAGTAACTCTAGTATTATACTCAGGAATTCGAGGATGGTGGAAGTAAACATAAAAATCAAATATTAACGATAAATAAAATTTTAACAATAAACTGGAACTTGCAGCTTCCTCGCACCTTTGACCAGTCATAATTTCCTTATCACTCTGTGATGCATATTAATGAGGATAAAGCTAACAGCTGCATGAAAAATGTAGTAACATTTTTTGTAGACAAACATCTCAATGTATGAGCTGTAATAACAGGCGCTCACCGGACTTGGAGCCACCCTCACAGTGCGTATGGGAATGTTATCATGGTTATTACCTGGGAAAACAGAAACTGAACTTGCAGTGTCCTCTAAACTGTCTGTGGAAATGATTCTGATTTGGAGTAGCTTTATAAAGTAGTCACATCTCGGCAGCCTCCCAGCCCAGCCATTTCCCTCTGCTGTCCACAGAGGGAGACCAGCCTCTTAGTTCAGAGCAGATTTTCAGAGCAGATTGATGCTTTTGCCAAGGCTGGAGTGAGGTGAAAGCTGATTGATTTTTACATGACTTAATACTTCAACATTCATCTCTTCACTGCTTCTCATGTCTCTCCTGTTCTCCTTGCTTCTTGTTTCACATTCTTCTCTTCTCTTTTTAATCCTATTCATTTTTGTCTCTTAATCTGCACCTAAGGTTTTTCTGATTTTGATTTGCACGAGCTAAAGGTCATTGTTTCCATCAGAGCTGCTCTGCCTGCCTCTGTATATCTTTTCCATGATATTTATTGAACTGCTACTCACTGCTTGAGAGCTGGTTCTCTAGCCCTGACAGATGTATGAGCTTGAAATTTGTGCAAAACACAAGGTATTAACATAATATGATAAAAAATAGAGCCATAACCACACCCTCCCCATGCTTTCTTTTCTCTTTGTAACATAAAGCACAATAAAACCAAAAGACAATGTAAATATAAAAAACTTAACAAAGAACCCTTTATGCCAGAAAGAGACTGTCCCAGCTTTTCATGTAACTGCATGATTATTTAGTTTCTCTGTTATTAATGCTGTCTTTGCCTGCCACATCTTCTAAGTCACAGCTTTGGCCTGCACAAGTCACAGGTGTTGTTGTTGTGGAATTCTTGCTCTAGTTCTTTTATTTTTCCTTCTTGACTCTTTTCACCTAACCAAGCTCATGTTTGTGACATCTAAATTCCTATGTATTAATCAGAAGTGTTCCTGTACATAGAAATTTGAAGATGTTGAAGAATACCAGAATCATGAAGAATCAATCCATTCTTGAAATGCCCTAAAACTTATTTTCCCTATAGGAGGGTATAAATATTGTTTGTAACTGAAGGATCGCCATCTAAGAAGCTTAGAATAAGCTTTTTTAGTGAAGGCTTTGAAGGCTGTGATTACCCCATAGCGCCTGAGCTCTGAGGGTACCTGAGCTGCAGAAACCCAAGCGTGGATTGCAGCAAGATTCTGGCACACAAACTCAAGCAGTTCTAGTCCTTTGCAGCAAAGACAAGCTCTGTGCAAACATAAATATTGCCAGTTCTGCAGAGCTAAGCCCAGAATCTGCTAGCAGAGATTCTTAGATGGTGGAGTTTCAGGTGCAGGCATAGGGATACATCCAAAGCAGTACCTCCTTCAGTAAGTCTCACATCCTCATGCCAGCTCTGATAGCTAAAAGGGCAACTGAAGCCTAGGTAACACTAAATGCTTGTAAAACTCTCTTCTTGGGTATGTTTTCTTTCAAATTTAAGGATCACCAGTGTTACTACACTTGCCCATGGTTTATAAATTCGCATGGTTTAAACTGTTGCAAATCATCAACATTCAAATTCCCTTTATCTTTTGTTTCTATGGCATCTCCTTCCTCTCTACTTCCCACTGTAATTACACTCCTTTTCCACTCTTATTAACAGTCCATCCCTATAACTTGGTCTGCAAATTATACTTCTCCAACCCAGTCTTACCAAAGTTTGAGGTGGTCCCTTCCTGCATAACTTATTTCTAATTCTTTTATCTTCCTTTCCTGTATTTTTCCCCTGACACATCCTACTAAATGAAGCCCCCCCTCCAGGTATGTGATTTAACTTCTAAACTCCATGGTGTCTGTCTGCTGTGATGGTGTGTGTGAGAAGTGAATACAAGGTGACAGGGGACAACAACTGATCAGTTAAGGATGGATTATAACTTGCATGCCCTTGGGGTGATCTATTTTAGTTTAATATTTTTTCTCAGTAAAGTGTAATCAGCAGTAGGGTGGAGGGAACTTACTCATTGCATGAAAATTTCACTAGAAACTGGGGGAACACACATATACTATTGTGAAAGGGTAGCTTAGCAAAAAGTCTCCTTGTGGAATGCACTAAATTCTGCCCTCTGATATGGGAATGAATATTTCTTCCTATAGGTGAGGATTTATTAAAATCTCAGGGCAGAATTTGACCCATTGACTCTCTGTGGGGAATGTAAACACTGTGCGAGTTCGTGGGTTTTTTATGCCTGCTTTGCAAAATATTTGGTGGTGTGTGTGTATGGCTAAAAAGCAAAATCTGCCCTGCAAATTCACATTGCTGATCTATTCCTGCTTTGCCAAAACCCAGAAGAATGACATGTAGACCTGCCCAGACTTCTAACGAACATTTTCTTCCTATGAAGTAATCTGTTTGTAATTTTACATTGCAAATGGATTTGAAGAGTGCCAGTACATTTACATAGACATCAATGCTGTCTTCAAGGAAGAAAATGGCCTGAGCCATAGATCTAGAAGGGAACTGAGCTTCTTTGGAAGTTAGCTGAACGTTGATGATGAGTTATGGCAGGTATTTCAGCGGGTTTCTGAACCACACTGCGTTTATTTCAAATGGCTGAAATACTGCTGTAGTAAAGGACGGGTCCTATAGTGCTTTGAGAGTGCTGGCTATGTTCATGTGCATATTTCCAATCAAGGTAAACCTCAGTACACTGTGCTGTCAGGTTGTGTTTTATGCCATGTGATGATTAGAAGTGTTTTCTAAGCACTGGACCATTATCATAAATCTGCCTCTTTTTCCTGTTCTGTGACTTTTCTTTATGTGTTATTTCAAATGTAAATATTTTGCCTGTTTACTTCTTAACTTCATTCAAAAGGCTCCCCTTTTCTTCTCTGCCCCTCCTCCCCATTGGCTCAGAAGCTCTTTTGGTGTGTGAAATAACAGGTTTCTCATTCTCTTGTTGTCTATTGCAACTTGTTCCATGACACTTCACGCCTGAAGTTCATGAGCCAGGTATGTGACACGACTTCTGGTTTACTCCACCTAGGTGCAACACGAAAGTGTGTATGTGTGTGAGAGAGGGAGAGAACAGGAGTCCTGGGCTGGTAGAAGAGAAGAAAACAAGAGAAACAGACATTAACCACAATTATCATTTGCAGCCCCTTCTCCTTTAACCTCCTTGCTTACTGCTGCTTTAACATTACAGCATTTTCAAGTCCTGACAGTCTCTCCAGTTTTCTGCCTGCCTTAAATCACTAATTCCTTTATTTTTTTTCCCCTGGTCTCTTTCTCAGGATTCCAAGAGCTTTAAATAACTGTTCTGTTTTGTTTTTTTCTATTTCCTGCCTTTCCATCACTGCTTGCACCACGACAGCAGCCGAGGAAGCTCATGAGGAAGGTATGTGGTGTGCCTACAGACTCTCATCCTTTTTCTCTTTCAGTGCTGGGGAAAGTGTCAAAACCACTGATATTGTTCAAGAGAAAATAGAGTATGGGAGGGAAATTATCTCTCTAGATGGATTTCAATGAACATGGAGAAAGGGATGCTTGTTAGCCAAGTCAAATCACCAAAAAGGTGTTTTTCCTTCTTGTTCCATCTCTGGAGAGTCCAAGGTTCCCAGCGTAACAGGGAGGGAGTTGGGGATAGGTGCTCTTAGAACAGTGCTGGTTGTGGACTGACTACTGTGCTTCTTCTCTTTTTCTTTTGTCCTCCAACCTACAGCCAATGAAGAAGGCGAATACAATGATGGTAGCTCAGTTTGTTGTCTTAGGACAACAAAGTCATCTTTCTAACATCTCACTCTCTTTTATGAGTCTGTTTTGTTCCTCACTTTATTTTAAATTCAGGAACTGGGCCAAAACATCTCTGCTGCAAAGAATCGCTCACTGTGCATATCCAGTCACCCTTGGGGAGTCATTAGTGTGTTGAGAAGCCTCTACATCCTCATTAGGATAGTAGATGGTGAAATTCAAGCTCTAGAAGCTTGCTCTGGACTTGTCTTTTAGCCAGAATCTGTTGTGTCCTGGCTCTCATCAGCAAAATGTCTCTATATCCAAAATTCAGGAAAGAATCTCTTAAATCATAGTGGCATATTTAAAAATGCAGCTGAGCCCTGCATAGACATGCATCCCTCACACAGCCTTAGGTGGTCATGGGCTCCAGGCCTGAATCTACAGAAATGTAAACTTTTGCTCAAGCCATGAACTTACACTTGTGCTAAACATTAAACATCTATTCAGATGGGTGGAGCTAAATATAGCCTGGATGTAATACTTGGTTGTGCGAGCGCTGGAGCACACAGGTAGGGACAAGGCTCATGTGAAAGGACCAAACCTAAATGTATGCAGGGTCAGTGTTGCTCTTGTAGAAGATAACTTAGCCCCTCCCTGGGCAGATTAAGCATATAGAAAGTTCCCATCAAGCTTTAGAGGCTGTTGAAGTAACTGGGTTCTTCCTGCCTGCCCCAGCCCCTAGAACACCCAGGCAGCTGTTTCAAAAGACAAAGCCCAAGGTCACTTGAAAACACCCTGCGTTTTCTATGTTTCCTTGTTTTGCTTTTGTAGATTTTTTGTTGTTGTTTTTCTTTTGTTTTAATTTTCTTCCTCACTTTTCAGGCTTCTTTTTTAATATAGGGAAGTATCCTGAGGACCTTCCTGAGCCCCTCTTTCTTTTTTTCATGCTTTTATTTTTAATAGCATATTGATTTCCTTTTTTTCCCAAGGACACAGTGTGAGTTAGATATGTTGCTTCTGAGAAGTGGGATTAAAGGAGGGTGTTTAGGGATTTCTGAGTGAAATGAAGGCAGTTCAGATGGATTCCCAGAGAAGGAGAGCACCGTGTGAATATCTAAAGACTGGGCAGGAGCAAGCAGGGTGGTGGTATTTTGGTGGTGTATCCTCTCCCTGCACAAAGCCTTTCAGAAACCAAAAACTCAAAGACTCTCTAATCACCAGGGCAGTGAACTTGGATTTGCAGTGTCTCTTGCCTTCTTTTGGCAGGGGTCTATGTGGGGATTTTGTCTCAGCCCCATGACTCACAGTCAGAATGACCGGAATGTCAGCCAAAATCCGCCACAGGAACAGGAATTTGCTATGACAATTCCTGTTGGTCAACAAATTTTGGCCCAGTTCCTTGACTTGGTGTCTTCAAAGAAGGGGCATTTCAAAATAAACCCCATCCCTGGACTGCTTTTGGTTCATACAGTATGGACAAAGGCTGGGTCATGCACTGCAGAGGATAGATTTTTTTACTGTTTAATTTTTAATAAAATACCCCTTTTTCTGGTTTTCTGTAGGTACCTTTAAGAATTCTAACTACAATTTCTTATTTCAAGAACTAACCTTGTTTTTTCATTTTTACGATTGTTTGTTGGAGTGCTGATTTGGTGGCAGCTGAGACCAAATTTGCACAGTTATTGACAGACAGGTGTCGATCCTGGCAACCAAGATCAACAAACAAAACCAATCATTTCCTGTCTACTCTTTTTTCCCCCCCTCTCTTTGAAGTGTTACTAACTGGCAGCTTTAAGCCAAACAGGAATGCCTATGAAAATGACCTGGGAATCCTGTGTAAATAACATACCTGATAGACTGGTTAATTATAATTACTTTTCCTCTCTCTAGGTAAAAGGCAATTTAGCCAACATGTTAAAAAAGCTCACTGGCTATTTGAAAAGCAAAACAAAAAAATAAGTGGAGGAATAGAAAAGCACGCTGTTGGCTAATGGTATTTTTCTTCAGGAGTGATTTGGGACTTCCTTTATAGTGGAGCAGTCTAAAATACATTTGTAATTACATGCTGTTTATTTTCTTAGCATTGCTCTGGCATCTGGAGGCCTCAGCTGAGAAATGTTTTGGCAGGCAGTGTTCTTGCAGTAAATGAGAAAAGTCTACCCCTTAAAATGGCATTAATGAAATTTGTATGGGAAAGAGTGAAAAATAGGAAATGTCAATTTCTGATTTATTTTATCCATTTTTCACATCTTTTCTCTTGATTATCTCAACAACCCATTTCCAGCCACTCTCTCAATTTTTTATTATCCAACACCCTTACATCTGATTGCCTCAATAAATTTTTTCCAGTGTAAGTTTTTTGCTGTTTTCACCTCTTATAATATTTAATTTTCTTTTTTTTTATTTTTTCTATTTGCTAGTCCAAATTTTCACCATCTGTCCCCTGGATAAAAAGAAGCTGGATAAAAAGAAGCACTTGAAAAAATTTAATATCTTTCTGATTTATGATATAGATAACAGGGTTCATGCACCTGCTACTGAAGCAGTTATTCTTACTTTTACTTTACAATTTTAAAATTTTTTTTTTACCAGATTCAGTAGGCTGTAAACTTTTTTTACCTCAATTCCTCCCGGTGAGCCAGCACAGGGAGAGTCTTGTATTGCAGAATGCATCAGCATCCCTGAAAGTTCAAATGTAGTGTGTGGTTATGAAAGTCAACCTGGGTCTCTGAGAGAATGGGCCAGAATAAGCACATAGGTTTAATTTATTTCTGTTTGTGAGAGCTACAGCACTCAACTTGCTGACATTATGCTGGAGTGAATAACTAAAGTTTAAAAAGAATAGCAGGGAGGGAAGTTGACCACAAGCACAAATATTAAACGAGTAACTCTCATGACCAGCACATGTCTGAGAGCCAGGGAAAGGTCATTTGTTGCAAGGGAACAATTCTCACTGCCAGAGAGCCCAGGCTGGCACTCTCTGTGATTGTTTGGCCTGCCTATCAGGGCATTATGCCTCTCCTGGAGATGAAAACATCATTCCCATTAATGCCCTTGGGAATTCTGCATGTAGCTCAGCAGGAGAGGATGCTTGCTAAGAGAGGATGGTCTTTCCAAGCTGGGTTTGAGGAGCACCACACAGTGCAGATGAATAAGTATCTTCCCCATGGCACTGAGGTATCTCAGGGACACGTGCCCTAAGATGTCTTGGAAGCCAGTGAACCTGGAGAAAATGTCTGTCATAAAAACTTTCCCTTCCTGGACTCTGTGTGAGGAATTTGAACAAAACTGGTGGAGTCTGGCTATCACTGAGATATGATATTGTGAATTCAAGTTAACTTTAACAAAAGAAGTGCTGATTGAAAAAGGCATCATTTTCTTCTACCCTCCAGCCCAGCTGGCCTCCTTAGAGCTTTGGTCAGGATGGTTTGAGAAATATAATTTTGCATTTACATAAAACCACTGCTTTCCAGATGCTACATTTGCGACTTTTATACAGTCTCTTGATTATTTTCTGCCAAATTCTGTTTTAGGGTAAAAACAGATTCACTCCTAGCAAAAGGGGTGTGTGAGTGTGTGTATTTGTTTTGGAAGTGCTTGAGATTTAACCAGTTTGTCTGTATGTTTCCCCTAAGATTAAATTTCCCTTCCCTCCTCTTACTTTAGCAGCTGGCGTGATCTCTGTTGTTTTAACTTTCTTCCTCTTTTTCCCTTCCTGTTTTGCTACATCCTTCCAAATACAGAGGAGAAGCCCAGAATAAAGTAAGTATGACGGGCAGGGTTTCAAAACCCTGGGCTCATTTTCCTGATCTGGCAGAAGCCCTTCGATTCTCTATTGGGCAAATGGCCACCAGAAGCCTTTCTGCAGCTCTCCCTCACACAGCATCCGTCTGTTTGTTCCTGCATGCCTTTCCAGGATGTCTGCTTCCTTCAGAGGATGCCTTAGCTGCAGTTACTGGCCTGGGCCTTAAGATTTGTTCCTGGTAGAGCCAGAGAATTCATGGACTGTGTGAGATGCAGAGGGCTCACAGTAAATCCTCTGTGAGAGGCCATGGCTGGGAAACTGCCCTCTCCATCCAGGGTTGCTGGCAATGGCAAATGTTGGGCTGGGCTGAGTTGAGCTTTGCTAAGGTTTCCCATGGACCTTCTGGCTCTGCACCTTCCCTTCCCACTCTGCCAGCTGCCCAGGACGGAGTGTAGAGCCCTGCACAGGAGGAATAACAGACAAACACATCTTTCCATGTGGTAGGGAATGACCACAGGCTTTGGGAATAAAGAGGGGTTTTAGGGATAACTCCCTGCCCTGCATGACCTTCCAGGAAGGAGAGTGGTCCTTAGGACTTTTCTGGAGTAGTTTTCCACTGATGTGCTCTTTCACCCCTCCCTATCTCCACCAACATTCCTTCTTGTCAGTGTGGTTCCTGAGGACGGGGTAGGATAGGCCATTAAAAAAGCTGCATATTCTTTAAGATGAAAATCCTTTCTTTTTCTTTTCTTTTTGTTTTGTTTTTGACTCTCTGCAGACTAACTGCTCCTAAAATACCAGAGGGTGAGAAAGTAGATTTTGATGTAAGTATTCCTGAGACTGGCTGTGTTAGTCCTTTGTACTTGATAATAGACATGAGTGCAAACCCACATAATCCTCCTGCACTGGATATTGCTGAGGGTAAAGGCAAAGACAAAAGTATGGTTGATTTGTCATTTGATTTCAGCAAAAGGCTACTCTCTGCTCTGTGAAACTGAATGCATTCACTGATAATGTGACTAAGCTAAAGTCATGTATTTCTTTCTTTTTGTTTATCTCCTTGAATCTTTGAAGCCATTATGAGGAGAAATAAAGTGTTTTAGAGATCTCAGATCCTCTGTCCCACTGTTGGAAATGCCTTGAAAGTTGCAAGCCATCATCTGTTGCTGAGAAATACTAGCTAAAATTACAATAATAAGTAGAGAGCCAAACACCTTCCTAGAAAGTTGATAGAAAAATGAAGAAAGTCTGGTGTTGAAAAGCTCCACAGAAATATTTGCTTTGCCCAAAATGCAGGAATATTTTCTAGGCACTACTTCTATTACAAAGCCAAGAGGAGGCAGCTGAATATATGCAAAGATAGGTGTGTCAGCAAAGCCAGGGATAAAATAGGGTGTAGGGAAATGGGAGATTTAGATTCTTTACCCTTCTGGGCTCCTGACTGTTGCATGACTGAGTGTCTGATTGTACCAAATCCATAAATTTGGATGGAAATCTACAGATATTTTCTAGTTTAGTTTCTCTGTGCATGCATGGTGCTGGGAATGTCCAACACATAATACTAGAGCAATATGGACTTAATGAGTTTTCCCGCTTTTCTAGGACATCCAAAAGAAAAGACAGAACAAAGACCTGATTGAACTGCAGGCCTTGATTGACAGCCACTTTGAAGCCAGAAGAAAGGAAGAGGAAGAGCTGGTTGCCCTCAAGGAGAGGATTGTGAGTCCTTGTACTCCATTTCCCTGTACTAGATTGAGAGATCATCTGTAGATGAGAAGCTGAAACCGCTGTCAGACTTTGACAGAAAGCTGTGCTGTCACGTACAAGAAGTGACTGCTCAAGTCATCATCAAATGGCTTCTTCCCCCATCTGTCCCCTCTGTTAGCCCCTTGTTTTATATCTGAGAATTGCACAGAGACCCTTCTGCTCGCTCTAGAAAGGGAGAAGGTGGCTCACACTCAATGAAGCAAAGCTCTTGGTAGTGGGATGTAGCAGTGGAGGCAGGTAAAGCCACGGTGGTGATCCAATGCCTCTGCCACTGCTCCCTGCAGGAGAAGCGCAGAGCTGAAAGAGCAGAGCAGCAGAGAATCCGGGCTGAGAAGGAGAAGGAGCGTCAGGCAAGGCTTGCGGTGAGTGTCTTTACTTCCCTCTCCTTGTCCCGCATCTAGAGACAGAAAAGCTACAGGTTCTGCCTGCCTCAGTCCAGAGGTGAAGTGACCACTCTCTAAAGCAAGGGCAGAAAACAGGAGTTGCTAATTCTCATCAATGTACTTCTCCCATCACATTCCCTGCACTGACACTGGCTGCTGGGGAAGCTGGGAGTCTGTCCTGGAGTCAATTGTTTGTGTTGCACTCCACAGGAGGAAAAGGCACGCAGAGAGGAGGAAGATGCCAAGAGAAAAGCTGAGGATGATCTGAAGAAGAAGAAGGCTCTGTCTTCCATGGGTGCAACATACAGCAGTTATCTGGCTAAGGTAAAAATCATGGATTGATGAAAGAAATATGAAAACATTTTACCATTAAGCTGACTGGGAACAGTGCTCATTAGAAGTTGAGGAAAAGGCCCAATGTTGAAATTGTTTCATTCAGGCTTAATTTCTGCAGTCTGATGTTAATTGATGTTCTGAAAATAGGCTGACCAGAAGAGAGGAAAGAAGCAAACAGCTAGAGAGACAAAGAAGAAGGTCCTGGCTGAGAGGCGCAAGCCCCTGAACATTGACCACCTTAATGAAGACAAGCTGAGGTAACATGTTTATCCTAATTTATGGAATGCAATCCACTGATGTTTGGTTTTACTGTCCTGGAGTCTTTTCTGGTCATAAAATGAGGTAGAGGAGGGGGCCTTCCTTGAAATTCATCATGGAACACGCTTAAGTTGTGCCCTTGCTTAATCTGGAGAATGGAGGAGAAATGGGAATGTAGGAAATTGTTGAAATGGTTTGGTAGCCCTCTAGCTGTGCTCCTGGTATAGCTCTGTTAGCCTCTTCTGCTAATTAGGATTAGTTGCTCTCAGGACTAGCTCTGGAATTAGGTGAACAAGCCTACAGACTGGTATCTGTAGCATTCCCAGGGGTGACTTAATGCTGCTAAGGTATGAATAGGACCTCCATGAAGGCTGGAGGTTTGGAAGCTCAGTGCTCTGGTGCAGAGCAGTCATCAGATGATAGTCTGGGCTGCATGTGCTGGAGTTTACACATGATTGAAAGATGAAGTTGGCTTACCTCAGCCCTGACACAGATGTGATTGCACAGTGGCAACTGCTCTGCTTATCTGGGTGACCTTCAGAGTCCTCCTTCCTTCTTGTCTGATTCCACTGCAGTCTTATCTTTCATTATGACTTAGGGGGAAAATTAGAGGAATTATGTTAATGTGTGACACATAAAAGACTGCAAGTCTAAAAGACATGAAGGTGAGAAAAATGTGACCTTGAAAATGATGAGTAGCTTTAAGAGAACAGAGAGGGTTTACAGGAAGATGTGTGAGTGGCATTAAATAAAATTCATTATTAATGTGAAAACAAAGGAAAATATCTGATGTCATGTGTTTCTTCTGTCTTCCCCCATAAACACACAGGGACAAAGCTAAGGAGCTGTGGGACTGGCTATACCAGCTGGAGACTGAAAAGTATGACTTTACAGAGCAGATCAAGAGGAAAAAATATGAGGTGAGTAGAGAGGCCGTTTTGCTAATGGCACAGGGTCCAAAATGTAAAAATCTCTCTGATTCATCTGGCAAAAGTCATGTTGTGACATTATTTGGATCTCCAGTGACCCTCTGCAATATTTATGCAGAGAAATGCTTGGAACTGCATTCCCCCACCATACATACTTGAACTGGATTTCACATTTTAGGCCAAAACTGAATAGATCACTTCTAAGGTTTTCAGTGCCCCATGGAAAGGCAATCCCAATGGAAAATGGACACCCTGCCCTCTCCTGAAACATTGTTCATTCTTGTTTATCTATAGGTAACTGTGGCCTGAAAATTCAGTAACTCTCAGTTCACACACCTCCATTGCAAAGTAATATTTTTAGATCCATCTTTGATTTCAAACTTGAACGTTGTAAGTTTTATTCCATCCCAGACAAATTTCCTGTGGCCTGAGCTCTCTGGAGTCACTGAAAACTGTCTCCAGAGAGGAGCATCTGACTGAAGTGTCAATGGTAACAGCAAGTGGGCATATTTCCTTCACGCAGTCTCTGGATAGGACGGCACTCACCCACATTAGGTTTCAGTGGCTGAGAAATCCTACTGGATCTCTCTCTGTCTCGCTCACCTTTTAATTCCCAATCACACAGACACATGCTGACAGGCAGTGAGCAACACCAATGTAACTATCTCAATCTCTCTTAGATTTTAACAATGCGTTGCAGGCTGCAGGAGCTTTCCAAGTTGTAAGTACAATGAACTTGCCTGTGCAGCAGCAAAGGCTACCAAATGCATGAGCCTGCCGCATGGTCAGAGCCAGTGCCAGACGGGAGCTGACACTTGGCTCCAAGTGCAGAGAGAAAAGAGAAAAATGGATCTTGTGTCTCTCCATTCACTTCCTTTTTCTCTCCCTTTCCATTCTTTGAAAAGATGTAAAGTGGTAATTTAGGAAAAGAGTCATGAGTCCAAGAGGGATTTGGTTAAAGAACTGAGCATGCAATCTATTGAGAGCACCTGAAAGTAATTCCATATCCAAAACTCTGTATCCAAAACCAGGTATTGCATGCATGGGAGCATCACCCCTGATGCATCACCTGGGGTACAAGCAGAAACAGGGATACATGTGTAATAGCTTGGGCTACAGTGTATAGAGAATAGTACGGGTTTGGAAAACTCCACCTTGTGGCACATGGTTATCTAGATCCAGAATACTGCAGAGGGCTAGCTTAATGGTAACAGGCCAAGGGGTGTGGAAAAACAGGGAATAAGGCAGTGCCAGGGGAGGGGTACATGCTATGGTAATGAGACCTCTGCATGAACAAAGAGGTGGGTGCCTGCTGATGAAAAGCAAGGAGACAAAGAATGAGCAAAGCAGAAGGAAAATGCACAGCTAAGATGGGAGAGGAAAAGTGGAAGAATAAAAGGAGGATGACAGCAGGAAAAAAATTAGGAGAAAGGTAAGTGAAAATAGGAAAGAGAATGAGGGACACACAGCAAGGATGCAAGGGAGAGAAAAAGGAAGGAAGCAGGACACAGAAGAGTCATTCTTTAGCTCTAGTGTCTGTTGCTCTTTGGTGCTTCATTGGAGAGTGAGTGTCATAGTCACGATCATAAGGTTTATGACTGAAGGTAAGTCTTAAGTGCTTAGGTCAAATTGAAGACAACTGGTTCTCCTCAACACTTGGGGAAAATACTTGGCTGGAAAATAGCAATTTAAACTGCTGTGACAAATACTAAAACTTCCACAAGTAAGTACAAAAGCAAGTGATCTGTTGATCTTTCCTTGCTTGTGTTGTCCTGTTCCTGGTAATATTTCAGTCTCTTATGTTTTTTCTGTTTGCCATGGGAAGACGTGAGACAGGAATTACCAGTTCTTGGGACAACTGGAATGTATGACTTTTGTTTTTCTTTTTTTGCACACCGGGAAAGTCAAGTGCGACTTTAAATGTTCAAAATTTAGGTTGTCAAATCTTGGACTGGCAGAACCAGTGCAGAATTTTGAATTGCATCAAAAGCAAAAGCAAAGCATATCTCATGGCAAGGGCATTTCTTCAGCCCAGGAAATCTAAGTTGAATACTGACTCAGTTACAAATTAGAAGATGAAGGGGCAAAAGTCTCTATTACATCCTAGTGTGGGCTCTTCCAGTACATGAGTCCCAGGATTTCAGTAATGAGTCCAGGCCTACAGACCAGAGTTACTAAGTCAGGCTATAATGTGTTTATCCCATGCAAGGTAGGTGTTTCCTCTTCTATGATCCTATGCATGAGGTAATCTCTTATTAAATGAGTGGCTGGGAAAGTGGTGAGTGCTGCAAGCTCCTCACCTCCTGCTCTGCCAGCCAGCAAAAGGTATTCCAGCAGAATGTGATACCCATCTTCCATTCCTGTGGTCCCCATCCAAAGATCACTGAAGATCTTTGAGTTTACACAAACACTTGATGCATAGGAGTAAGGGAAGAGTGAGCAGGTAGCACTGAAAGACGAAGGTGATGAAGCCATCGGAGAGCTTTCCAGTTGGCCAAGGTGATATTCATTCCAGTTTGGCTGCCTACAGTTTGACATGCGAGTTCATAGGAGATTAACTTCAATATGTAGAAACACTTCTGGTAAGGGTTATAAAATTCTAGCTCCTCTGTCCCTTGACATATGAAGTTGGTGTGCAGATTTATTGCCAAGAAGTAACATTTCTGTCCTTCAACCACGGGTGAGCTTTTATTTCCAAGAAAGTATTAATTCCTCCTACAGGCGCCTGTTTTGAGCACTTCACAGGTAAAATGCTCCTCTCCTTGAGGGAACGAGGTTTCTTTGTCTCTAAAAACCCTGGTCATGTATGTTGTTTGCAGATTGTCACCCTCAGAAACCGGATCGATCAGGCCCAGAAGCAGTAAGTATTTATATCCCCATCCTAGCTCCTGGCTTGGGGATATCTTCTCAGTGTTCAAATGTGTCACTTCAGCCTCAACACTGACATTTTCTTGTTGCAATGAAATGGGGCTAGAGATGGAAGGGCAACTCCCATCCTGCCTCACATTGAGAAAATGAAGGGGAAACTGAAGTGAATGTAACACCTAACAAGAACAAATCATGTTTCTTCACACCATACCTTCAGAAATTTCCTCTGCTTATTGTTGGGTTTTTCAAACACTTGATTGAGGTGCTTTGAATACTTGAGGGACTATAACCCTTGTTTATGAAGGATAAACAAGTGGTTGCTAAGTTTAAGAAGAATGGTGTGTAACAAGACTAACATAATGGGATTACTGTTGTGAGTTCTTTTCACTCATCTCTCTCCCACTTTCCTTCACCACAAGACGATTTCACTACTTTTTTGAGTCTTATATCATTATTCTAGGTGTTTTTAATGGATTTATGAGATACCAAGGGTAGACACAACTTGAGGGTTAGAACATGCAGAAAACTAACATACACAGAGAAGTAACTGCAGGGCAGAAAGGGAGAAGAGGTCTCCAGTGGTGGGTTTGCTTTTCTCTGTGCATCTGTATCTTTTTACCAGTCACACCAGGAATGAAGCAGTGGTCTTTGGTGATATATTTGGATGACCAGTTGCTGCCTTCCCACTTCCTCAAGATACCCTGGCTTATCAAATGAATGTAACACTGGGGGTTTGGTTGTCTGTAATGCCAAACATAAGGCTTGACCTCCCCATGGTATTTTCTGTACAGAAGTGTAGGCTGATAAACCTCAGCAGAATGCACAGCTGCAGAAGGATGCCATGGCTTGTCTGGGTGCTCCTGCTCTTGTGGGGTGCTACCACACCACCCACAACAGGCCTTCTTGTTCCCCAAAAAGACATGATACTCTCCCAGGACATAATTTGAAAAGGTTGCACCGAGAAGCCCAGAGATAATGAGATTTTTGTGTGCTTAAGTTTCTATCCCTGCTAGACACTATCATTCCAAGGCAGGGCCTGCCAGTGTGTTATACAAGGATCAAATGAGTCTCTTGCTTCAGACTTTATTAAATCTCCTTAAGCACACTCTAAAGGTTAGGTGTAACATCAAATATAACAGGTGCTTGTAGACATAAAAGGACTCTGTCTTTGTTTGAGGAGCTATGCAGTTCCTACACTGGGTTTTGAACCTTCAGAAAGGCTGGCAAAAGGGGCATAGAGCTTAATTTAAGATAAGCAGAAAGTGCATACTCTCTTTTATGTAAACCATCATTTTTTTCAAATAGACCAAGCCTATCTTGGTCAAAGGTAAAGTATCCACTATGTGTTTGTCTCTGTCACTGTGCTACATCCTTCTGTAAATATGGCTGGTGCTCTTGAACCAATCCATGGGGCAGCACAACAAAAATCTCCCCAGTGTCATGTCCCCATGTTTTTCTTCTCCCTGGAGGAATCAGTGGTTCTGAAGAAAGGCCTCTGTTGGCAGCAAGGCCCCACCACCTTGTGCTTGCTCCCCAGCCCCACACTCTGCATGTGCTTTGGTTCAAGAAGCAGCCTCATCACTGTGTGTGTGAGCTGGAAGGGTTTGGGGGTGTGCCAAGCCCCACAAACCAAGGTGCTGCTAATGGGAACTAGTGCAGAATCTAACTCAACTAACTTCCTGCCTAGCCCCATTCTGAGTTCAGGCTTCTCAGGCAGAAGGTAAGTGGCTTGCATGTAGGATTGCCCTTCTGTGTGCAAGAACTCTCGGAGAGAGTTTGCCTCAGGTGCTTTGAGTGGGGAGTGTAGCTGGACTGCTCCCACACACCATGAACAAGAAAGGGGTACTGATAGGAGATCAGGCCTAAAAAATCATTTGAATTCTTTTGGAAGCTCTGTTCTCACTATATAAACAGCCACTCTGCCTTTGCTAGAAAGCACTTCTTAGTTGTATTTAAATTACTGTTCAGCTTTTTGCCTCCACTACTGGGGAATTTGATCAGAGTTCTTTTATACTGAGCAAATTTCTCTAGATAGAGCTCTAAATCCTAAAATCCAGAGCACAGCAGATTTCAGATATTCAGAAAATATCAAGTCTGTGCCTGCATAGACCTGTCACTTAGTTTGGAGACCACCTAGATTTATACCCTGATAATCCAGGAGTCTGGAAGGGTCCATCCCTTTCAGGCATGCACATCCTACCTTTCACACTAAGAGCCCCAGGAGGAATATTTTTCCACTACATTGACAATATTTTTCTCAGGATGTGGTCAATGGCAGGTGTTCCCAACATGTGAGAAGTGAAAGCAGTTGAGACCTAACCTTAGAGTCAGAAATGCAGAGTGGCCACAGAGCCCCTGTGCTTCCATCATGCTGACATGTTTTCCTTTCCTTTTGCATTGTAGCAGCAAGAAGGCAGGAGCCAAGGGCAAGGTTGGTGGGCGCTGGAAGTAAAGCACCAGGCAGGACGGCCTTTAATGGTGTGCTGAACCCCTGCTGGTCTCCTCTTTCCTCCTTCACCGATCACTTGTGTTCTCATGCCTCAATGATAACAAAAATCACATCAGCCTGGATTGGCTATTGCTGCTGCTTTTCTTCCTGGAGGGGTCTGGTGGCTTCCTCAGGCAAGGGGAAGCAAGTTCCCTGTGGAACTGGGATGACTCCTTGCTGGCATCTTCAATTCCTGCTGAGCGTGTCCCTTATCCTCCTGATACCAGCCCTATGCTGTCCTGTAGATTGCTGTGTACAAATCTCTGGATTTTGTAAATAAAGCACAACCAGTACCTACTCCAATAACAGCCCTCTGGAATGGTGTTTTGTATTTTATTTAATGGCTTCCCATTTTCCAAGGATTTGGGAGTTGGTCCAAATCCTTACTTAGTATCATTTGATCTGTCTCTCCAAATGGGAAGAGGCTCAGCAAAGACTCAGGATTTGGGGCCTGTTTTAAGCCACTGTACAGGCAGATACCAAAAGCCAACTGTTCTCAGGGGGTTCATAATCTGGCTGCCAAATGTAGCTGAAATTGACTTCAAACTTCAAGTGATGAAGTGAATTAAAGAATTGGGAATAAAGGAACAAATGTACAGAAGTGGTAGTTCTTAGCACATAGCTTTTATTAAATGCACACAAGTGCAATAGAGAATAATTAATTCAAATATTACATTAAAATATTTATTGAGGCTCTTAGCCTGCATACAATATTAAAGTCTAATACTGTAGTGTGAATTACTTGGTTAATTCAATGTAGATGTCAAAACATGAGTGGCTGTTACTAAATTTGAAAGGCAAGGTGTTCTGTAGGGCCTCTTGTCTTTGCCAAGCATTGAACTGCCCTGGTGGTGGGAAGCCCATTAGAGCCTCTCCCATGTTTCCAAATTTCTATTTCTGGTACCTGTTGGCTCTCTGTTGGCATGTGCTGAGATGTCATGGACTCATCAGTGGTTTAGGTGTGAAGAGGCTGGAAAGACCATATAGTTCCAACTCCCCTGCCCTGGGTAGGAGCACCTCTCATCAGACCAGGCTATTCATAACCCCATCCAACCTGGCCTTGAACAGTACCAGCGACGGGGCATTCACAGCTTCTCTGGGCAACCTGTGCCAGAGCCTCACCACCCTCCCAGTAAAGAATTTCACCTCAGCATCAAATCTAAACCTGCCCTCTCTCAGTTTAAAACAGCTGTCCCTTGTCCTGTCACAGGATACCTTGGTAAAAATTCTCTGTCTTTCTTGTAAGCCCCCTTACATACTGAAAGGTCACAATTGGGTCCCCACGGAGCCTTCCCTTTTCCTGGCTGTGCAACCCCAGCTGTCTGCCTGTCCTCACAAGGGAGGTGTCCCAGCCCTTCCAGCATCCCCGTGGCCTCCTCCGGACCTGACCCAACATCCCTGTGTGTGTTGTGCTGGGGTCTCACCAGCGTGGAGGGCAGGAGGAGAGTCAGCACAGGACCAAAGGCAGACAGCACTGCAGCATCCCACAGAGACTAGATTTTCATGTCATCACACAACTGGTAGGGTTGGAAGGGACCTCTGGAGACTGTTCAGTCCAGCCCAGAGCAGGTGACACGGGAATGTGTCCAGGTGGGTTTCAGTATCTCCAGGGAGTGAGATTCTACGTTCTCCCTTGGCCAGCCTGTTCCCGTGAACTCTCAGTGTGAAGATGTTCTTCCTCGTGTTGAGGCGGAACTTCTGTTTCAGTTTACAGCCATTGCCCCTTGTGCTGTCACTGGGCAGCGCTGAAGAGTGTGGCACCTTCCTCTGGGTACCCGCCTTTGCGATATTTTTACGCGACAAGGAGACCCCCTCCGAGTCTTCCCTTCTCCAGACCAAACAGCCCCAGCTCCCGCAGTCTCTCCTGTGAAGAGAGATGCCCCAGGCCCCTCCTCATGTCCCTCTCCGGCAGCTCCTTGTCCTTGTCCCTCTGAGGAGACCCGGGCCGGGCTCAGCCCCGCGGGCCCCGGCGGGGGCCCTGCCGCGCTCCTCCGCGCCAGCGGGGGGCGCCGCCGCGCCGCCGGAGCCGCTCTGGGCCGGCGCTCCCGCGGGGCGGCCATGGCGGCGGCGGGCGGCAGGAGGGCCGTGTGAGCCGGGCGGGCCGGACCGGGCCGGGCGGGCCGCGCCGGGCGGCGGGCAGGGAAGGGGTGCGGCGGGGACCGCTGGGGCTCAGGCGGGGCAGCGGGGTGGGGGGCCGGCCGGCCGGTCGGTGAGCGGCGGTGTGTTCCCGCAGGTACCCGCTGTTCCAGAGGGGCGGCCCGCAGCTGCGGATCTTCCGTCCCAACTTCTTCATGCTGGCGGTGCGGCCCGGCGTGCCCCAGCCCGAGGACACCGTGCAGTTCCGCGTCTCCATGGAGTGAGTGCGGGCTCGGAGCCGGCCCGGGGGCTCAGGGCCGGCAGGGAAGGGGAAGGGCCCCCTCTGCATCAGGCAGACCTGGCTGAGGGCACGGGTTTAATGACGAGCTTTGCGGGGCTCCTCTCCCCGAGTGTTAGTGAGGCTCGGCCTTCCCAGGGACGGGCTTGGGAAGAAGAAGTGCTTAGAATTTGATCCAGGGTAAGCAAGGTGGTGTCCAGTTATTTGTCAGGACTCTCTCAGCCTGACCAGTTTGCTGGCACACATTAGAACCTGTAAGACTGTGGCAGGTTCCATAAGATCAGCAGCTCCTACTCAGAATAAAGGCATCTCAGGTTGGGCAGTGAGAAAGCCTGCTGAACACAGAATATACCTGGCATTTTGAATGTTAAGGCTGCAGAGGATAAAGTATTTGACAGTTGTTACAGTTTATGGATCATAAATTGCTGTAGCAGTGTGTGGTCTAGATTGAGTTTACACTTTCATGTCGTAAATCTGTCTTGGTTAAAGCAAGAAGAAGACATATTTATTCCTCAGTATCAATCAGTCTCTAGTTTATTTTGTTTAAATATTTACACTTCTTTTTCTTTCTTTCCCCAAAATGTTTTTTCATTGCCTAGAATGACCAAGCTGGACATCAGGAATTACCTTGAAAGAATATACAATGTGCCTGTAGCTGCTGTGAGAACCAGGATACAGTATGGTAAGTGCAGCTGAGTAATGCAAAGGAATGCATTCCTGTGCAGCCAGAGTAGACTTTTACTTTTCAAAAGGTCTGTTAGATTTCAGCAGACTTTGCTTGCAGTGGTTCCAGGTGCTTAGCTGTTAGCATAGTTGTTTATTCATCCCCTCAAATGAACATGCACCACTTCATATTTGAATGCTGTGATTAAATGGTGATGTAAGTTTCACTCTGAAAAGAAAAATCTGAATTTAAAAAGGCTGATCATCCTGACAGTTTTCTAGCTTGTGCTTTTGTAGTTGATACTTGAAGACCAGTGGGTGTCTCCCTTCAGAAGGAACTGCTTCATGTGTTTTAGTACAAGTAGTAATTAAATTTAAATTCATCTGTAGCCTTCATTTTAAAAATGAGCTGAGATTAGTTTGCATGCACACACAGGAGGTGTTACGGTCTAACAAAAGGTAAAATTTGTAGAGCAAAGAAGAATGCTCTGTTGAACCAGTAGATAATGCCAGAAAAACATATTGACAAACTTTCAGGTTTTTATCATCTTTTGTTACCAGATTTCTGCTACAGATTTGAATGTTTCCACTTGTGGTATTTCTCTCTTGTCCAACCCCTAGAAACAGTAACAAGAACAAAAAAACACCCAAATGTCCGCCAAAAACCCAACAAAAAAACAACCCAAGAGAAAAAGAAGAAACATTCCTAGTTTAACCTATGCTGAATTCTGACTTAGAGGCAGATGGACTCATCTCTAACTGAAATAAGATAAATCTGGATAATATCACCTTTACATAGGGATGCTTCCTTCCCCAGAGCATCTCTGATTGCAGTTTGGATGCAGTCAGAAATATTTTTCTTTTTTTTTTTTCTCATGTTAATTTCCATTTTTTATTACCAGGCAGTGTAATTATTGGATGGAGAGTGACTTGTTGGTTAGGACATCTTTGATGGCTGGGTTTTTGATTTTTCATGTAGTGACTCTATGAAAGGAATTGTCTGTTTACAATGGTAAGATAAAGGATGACTTTAAAAGGAATAGGAAAAAAGACCTGTAGTAGTGGAAAATGAAGGATAAAAGAAAAAGCTTCAAAATAACGTTCTAAAACTCTTAACTTACAAAGGAAGGAAAAAACCTGGAAGTATCATCTGTAATATGTGAAAACCAGAATTAAATACCAAACACATGTAGTTCCAAACAGCACTGAAAAATAGTCATGCTTGTTCTTATAACCATTTTGTCCCCCACTGCTAGTTTTAGGTGATGGTATATAGACAGGGATTAAAGAGGGTTAGAACTCCCAATAGTCTGAGAGCTTTAGTATCTGCCTGACACGAAGAGGGTGAGTTGTACTCCCCACTTCACTTGTGACCAGCATGGTTGGAGAAGCTTGAGGTGCTTTAGTTTGTTTGGATGTGGAATATAATATCCTGGTGTATAAACACGAGATCCAACTCATCGCTGAATAGTAAAAATTGTCAGTTTAAGGCTACTCAGTGGTAATTTTCCCCTTGTCTTCCTGAAGCTGTGAATGTTAGGAAGGCAGTTTATCACCCCTGGCCCCTACCTGGGGGACTTTTCTCTTTGCTTCTTTGCAGACTTTGTGTGTGAAGGCACAGTGTCAGCAGGCTGGTGATGCCTTCTTTCCCTGCTTGTAAACGAGGAGAGCAGTGTCTACCAGTTTATTAAAATACACTTTAATAATTGTGGTATTGTGCTAGTAGTGAAGAAAGAGTATTCCTCTTAACAATAAATTAGAGATAGCCAAGTCCCTCCTTCAGCTTAGCCTTGCTTTGGAGAATTCAGAAGTCCTGGGAAGTAAAAGGTGGTATTCTTTTCATTCCTGCAGGTGCAAACAACAAGAGGAATCACAGGAATCAGAGAGTGAAGAAGCCAGATTACAAGGTTGCCTATGTACAGCTGGTGAGTTGAGTTAACATGGAAGGCACTGTTAACCAGCCAAGCTGAAAGTAATGCCAGTGAGTTGTGCTGGTTGGCTGAATTATTTCTGCCAATCCTCTAATACCAACAGTTTCTTTAACACATTCCAGAATGTAAAGAGATTTAAATGACTTGCTCTACAGATCAAATTCAAACAAAATAAGTCCCGTGTTGGTTTGAGGTCTGTCTGTAGGTTGTGGGCTGATGTCATAGGGTGCTGTTTTGCCAGAGAGTTTCATGCTGACCCTGTAGTCTGTGTGCTGGAAGGTTCACAACTTATGTGGTTGATTGCTGAAATGTCCAGTAAGTGAAAGAATACATTGTGAGGGTAGGGAACTTCTTATTAAAGGTCTTTGGATTTCAGAGAAGACTAAGGCTTATTCCTTGGGGAGCCTTTAGTCATGTCTAAACAAGTTTGCTTTGTGGCTGAACAGGATTCTGAAACATATATTGGCTGCCCAGTGGAAAAGGAGCTTCATGTTCATGTAAATTTCTTTAATAACAGGACCAATTTATAGTTTAAACTTCTGTCGGGCTTACCTGTCTTTATGCAAAAAAGAAGTGCAACCAGTGACAGAAAACCCCTTCACATACCGAAATGACATTAAAGGGATGGTATTTATGGTTGTAAAACCAGAAGCTCAAAATTGCAGTGGGCAACACAACGTCACTGTTAACTCTGTCTTGGGACAAGGATTCAGTGTTGGAGGAACACTCTGTGACCCTAAAGACTGGCTAAGATTTCATATGGACTTGGGGTCAAACTCAAGAGGCACAAACAATGGGAAATCTGATTTTTAATATTTCAAAGTTTAAATATACTTAGAAGTTTTTTTCTAAGCCCTTCTGGGAAGGGGACTAGAAAGGAAAGTGAGGACAGAGTGTTTTTCTAGACAGCCCTTACCTAATTTAAAAGAACAGTGTAAAGTTCGATGTTACTAAAAAGTAACAGTTATATTGAGATGAGTTAATTTTATTTACTCTGCTGAAGTTAAAGGCAGCCTCATCTCTGTGAGGATTTTACATTACTATGGCTAAAATGCACATTCCTTTTTCAAGGAAGAGTTTGCTTTGGCGAGCAAATTCTCCCTCCTGGATTGTCTGTGTTAGGTTTTTGTTTGCTGGAGAGCAGGACTGTATGATTAGGAAGTGAATGCTTGAATTGATGATCTTGTATCTCACAAGTTGCTTTCTCTGGGTGTTGTTCCGTTTAGTAGGAAGTTGCAGGCACTTTGCATTGCCACAGCCCCTGCTAGTGACTTCCTTGCTTTTAGAAACTTGTTTCCCAAGACAGAAGGAGACATGGGTCTCTAGTGAGCTGTAGTCAGTTCTCAAATTTTATTTCACTGTAATGCAGTCTTTTGTCCTATGTCTGCTGAGGTGAGAAGGAGGTAGTCTGCAACCCATAGATACTCAGGGGGAAGGAGTGGGAAGCAGAATGCTGCTGCTCTGTTGGAGCAAGAGGTTTAAGGCAGTGTCTTTTTACATTATTTCACATTCAGCCTCTCAACCTGGAATAGTTGCCATAACCTTAAGGGTTGGTCAGCCCAGGTGTGGAGATTTACCTAAACAAGCTTGGTATTGGAGGCAGGTGCACAGAAGTAGTTTGATTGTTCCTCCAGCCTCCCATTTTGTCTTCTGGGCAATGCACAGAGCACTGTTGCACTGTAGCTGAGGTCCCATAGTACACGGGACAGCAAGAGTCCCTTACTGCCTTGCACTGTAATAAGTTCTTAAGGAATGCCATGTTTTCCATCTCTTCCATGAACAGGGTCAGGGGACCACTTTTTGGTGGTGTTTTTCATGTCCAGGGAGGGAATCCTGGCTGTTTGTTAAACTCTTTGCTGGTGAAGCTTGGTGTCTGTATTTTTTCCTCACCTCATTCCTGGTCTCTTTGGTCCATTTTTCTCCTATTGTTGTTGTGGTCTGTTAATTACATTAACATTTAGGTTTCTTTATTCCTCCCCCTTTCTCTTTTTACTTTTGTTTGTTGCTTTTCATCACTAGCTCTGATGTCTCAGACAATGAGCTCCCAGCTCTGTGTTCACACCAGCTTGAAACAGTGGGTGAAGCCAGAAACCCAGTGTCATTTCTGAATCTAAAGGGTTTGCCTTCGTTCTCATTCATGGTGTGATCAGGCCATTAGAGGCCCCATGCAGTCCATTGTTACTATCTGCCTAATTTAGGAAAGTCTTTGGTAACCACTGTAAAATCCTTATTTTCATGAGAATTAGTTTGCATCTGCCATGAGTCAGAGTAGCTGGGCTTTCCCACCATTTTTACCAGCTGTGTTTTCTCTCATTAGTCCAGTTTCAAGTTAAAACTGCTTATGACTGGAAAAATATGAATATGTTTTTGTAAGCTCTTGGGTTGATCTTTCTGTTGCCCACTAGGTGGAAGTACTGCTCTTTCCAGTGTGACATTGCAGCTGTGGTGCAGTTTACCTGAATGAAAATTGAGTTTATTCTCATGAGTAGTTATGTTTCCCTGCTTCATAAAGCATCACCTTATGTGTCCCAGTGCAACACACACATCCTTTGACTTACTGCAAGTATCTCAAAGGTGGAAGGTGTATGAAGTCATAGTCAACATGCCCTTAGGTGTCAGACTATGCCCCAGCTGCTCCACATGTAAGCATTGTTGTCCTTTCTTTTCCAAATACTATTTCTTGGAGATTCAGAGCTGTTTACTTTATTCTCAGGCGGTAACTGGACAAATACATGATCTGTCCAAGCATAATATTTTCACACTAAAAAAATACCTCGAATCATAGAAGGCTGTGGATCAACAATATCTTGCCATTCCAGAGCCTGCTTGCCTTTTTTCCCCTTTTGGAATGTGGTGAGAAAGGTTTAAGTTAGAGACTTATGGTCCTGTTTATCAAATGCTACTTTTCTACACTGTTCTGTTTTTTGAATTAAACCCAAGTTTTGTATCTTTGCAAACTAGATAAAATACATGTACTACAGCAGCCTTTCTCTTTACTCCAATACATCTATAATTATTATTATGAACATAATTAAAAAAAAAAAAAGAAGAAAAGAAAGCCAGTGGGAAACTTTGCAGTTGAATTAACATCAGGGAAATGAAAAAAAAACAACAACATCCCCTCCTTCTCCTCCTTCAATGTTCTCACTGGTTTAGCTTAGCAGGTGTTAGTACCCGTGGGAGCACAACTGTAGACAAGCCTCTGGAATCCAGACCTATTTTTAATTAAACCTGTTTTGAGAAATCTAGTGGAGATGGCTTTAAAAAGGAGTCTGACCTTGTCAGCGTTAGGACTAACACCTATTTAGCTGTTTGAATGATGGCACCGGTGGGAACATTTTTGCAAATGCTTTCTCCTCAACCCCCGTTTAGAGTATCCTGTACATTCACAGTACAGGATAGCCTATTTACACATCAGATGTGACAGCAGTTTTCTTTTGAATTCAGAGGAAACTTGGGTGATCCATATGCAGTGTTGTTCCTGAGTGGATTTTTGAAGTTGCTTTCTGTGCTATTTTTCCATACGTTTTAGCATCAGATGTTACCACTGCAGTAGTAGGAGAATTGTTCAAATGCACTGGATTATTAAACTTAGCTGCATTTGCTGCTACTGCTGGACTGAATCCCATGCTTTTGGGAGTCCAACATTTTTGTAGTTAATGATACAATAAACATCACTTTTCTGTTAATTCTGAAGGACAGTAGTAAGTGCTTCAATTATCCAAATAACCAGAAGATCTCACAGCTGTTTACATGATTGGTGTTTGCTGCATTATTGCTGCACAGTAATATCTGTGCTGATCTTCCATTTCAGGGGACTCAAAGGTCAGAGAAGTATGAGTGAATTTGTGCTGGATAATCCTACTAGCAGTTTTCTGACGTGAGGCTCAGCAGTGGAAAGGCCAGCACTTGACTTCATAGGCTTAATTAAGCCTATCAATTAAAATTAATGGAGGCAATTGTGCCACTCCTATGATAACTCCTTAGATAGACTCCAAGAACAAGGTGTCTTTTCAGCCTTTCTTAGGATAAAGGCTTGAAATCTAACAGGAAAATACATGTTGGATGCTTAAGTCACTTTTTGTGTGAAGGATGTTACTGGCATTTAACAAATGAGTCCTCATAAGGCCTTTTATATAATTCGCTTTTATTTTGGGTAATACTGAATTGAGAATTAGAGGAGTAGCAGTTTAAATGGTCCCTTTTCTGTTATCTGAACACTCTCACTTGTGAGACCACACATCCCACTTGTGCATAACCTTAGAATTTGTAGGGAAAAGGGAGATCACTGGGAAGACCCCAAACTGTGAAGAGCAATGTGCAAAATCATGTTGCCTTTATTTTTCAGGTGTTCAGTGCCACCTCTGACTTGCTTTGTTCAGGGCTTTTTGCTCCTTTTTTTAATAGTATTGTAAGGCTTTGCTTGAGAGCAAGGTGAACACATGGTGGTAGAGCTTGCCCTGACAAATTCCAGAGTATCAGGGGATCACTTCACATTAGTGAAAAAGATCTTTTGTTGTCAGTGCACCGCCCACTTCCATGACAGACTGAATTATCCTAGCAAAATTACTTTTTTTCCAGTGTGTCTTTTTCACTGGATTTTTTTTTTTTTAGCACAGCTGTGTTGAGTAGAAAGGTGGTGTTATCTTCTCCCCTTTTCTTTGTGCTTCTAGCTAAGGTAATTATGCTGGCAGAAGTTCTAAAGCAGAAGCAAGTTCTAGCCTTTTTAGAGGCTACTTCAGCTTATGATAATTTCAGTAATTCAGCAATTAAAGGGATAAATGGCTTGCAACATGTAAATCTATGGACAAATGCAAGGTTTTCAAGTAGGGCAGAATCTTCTTTTCCGGTTGGATATGCCAGCACTTCATGTTCTAGCAATTTGTAAACCAGATAAACCCTGATGAACTTGGTAAAAATTGCTTGCTTCATTCCAGTGAGGATTTCATTCTGAGAATGCATTTATCATATGGTTGTCAGATGGTTGCTATATAGAAGGAAAAACTTCTGCAAAGAAGAAGTTTAATGAAAAGCAGCACTGTGCAAAGGAGTGACAAGCCCTCTGTCCCTTTGGCAGGCTTTTTTTTAAGGAGGTGGCATATGAGCTTGAGCCTCAGTAGCCTCTGGCATTATGTAGAAGATGCATTGAGTGTAAATATGCCTGGACAGACTCACAATCCTTTATGTAAGTTGATGCCTTTTGGTATTTTTGAAATTTTGAAATACCCAAGATACAGGCTTCTTCTGAAAAGTAGCTACTGAGCATGCACAACAGCTATTTTTCAAACAGCTTTCATCACTCCAGAGCCTTACAGTGCAGTATTACTGCAGAGTATTGTTACTTAAGATTTATCAACCTTCAGTTCTCAGGGTGTAATGTCTTGGCTGTTTCAAATCATGTTTGGCTGCCAGCCAAAATCAGAATTTCTTCACAAAACAAGAGCTGGAAAGAGCCAACTTGTCTGTGCTGATTTGGATTTATTAAAAGATTCCAGATACAGATTGACATTTTCAGCTCAATATTTGACTTCCACCAGCCTTGAAGTGGGAACTGTGAGCACTTTGATAAACAGCTTAAAGGTTTGTCTGGTTTTGCTACAGCCTCTGTGTGTATATTTTTTGTTTTCTTCCCTCTTTTTAAAATAACAACTGTTTTGCAATGCTTAGTGAATTACCGTGGAAGTTGTTAGTATGCTTTAGGGACGGCTTTCCTTCATTCTCCAATAAGGGAAATGCATTGGTCCTGGAAGCATACCAGAAGGCAAGAGCTGCATAACAAGAACAGTCCCTTACTACACTGTTACCAATATTAATAGTTCTCAGATTTTCAGTGGAGGTGGTGTGCCTACCATGTTAGCCTGAGTTGTTTTCTGACTTGTTTAGCTAAAATGGCTTCCTCTCCAGGGCAGACAGGTCTTTAGTGTGGGCCCTGTCTGTTCTGTAGGTCCTGCAGGGCTGAGTGACCTGCAGTGCAGTTAAAACACAGCAATTTTTTGTAATATTAGCAAATTCCTTTCCAAATGCTTCAGTGTGCTAAAATCGTGGGCAGTGCTTGGCCTCAAGGGTGCTTGTTGCTGATCCTAGTACAGGAAGAAGTTCAGAAGGCTGCAGCTTTGGGCTTGCTCAAGGACCCTGGTAAGGCCAATTTCTGTGCCATGAAATGGGACTGTGCTTTAGCTGTCAGAGGACAGCTATTATGAGGATACCTGTTGGTAATTTAAAGGTACAAAAGAGCTGAAACCCCAGAGTGTACATCAATGGAAAAGAAAACCTTGATATGTTCCAGTTGAGCTTATCCAGGCTAGACTCAAGGAAAAAGCAATGTACACAGCAGCTCCCTTGTTATTTTTGTAGTATGGTCAGGCTCTTAGGAAACCCCCAAGAAGTATGCACTACAAAAACAACCGGAGCATTGCTGGGTAGAGTTGGTATTTTGTAGATTCCAGTCTGGATAATCTCATCTGGGATAATACATGCTTTTTTCTCTCCAAAGCATATGAGGTTTAGATTTTTTCACACCTGTTATTTGCCAGGTTGAGTGTATATGATTAAATAAAACATAACAGACATTCAGCTGGGTCACAGACATGGTAATGGTTCTGTTGGATTTATTTATGTCATACTTCTGATCCCAAAATGCAGAGTAGGTATGCTGGGGAAGGCTCCTTTCATGTCCTTTGTGGAACCATTTCATAACTGAGCCTCTTGTTTGGTTGTATTTACTGAATAAATTTAAAGACTGGCTGACCTGAAAAAAAAGCCAAACCCGCCTGCTTTTATCTGAAGCAGTTAAATGCTTTTCTTGAGATTTCTGTATGCAGAATGCTTCCAAAGAAGTTAATCTATGGTAACGTTTAGAAGTGTTTTGGAGAATAGTTTTAGGGTTATGGGTGACATGTTACAAGTTTTATTGTGCAAGGTCCCATACAGAATAGGAGGGCTGATATTGTTGAGTTTAATGAAGTTGTGCTTAGAGCAAATGCCACTAAAAATAAGTAGGTAATGTTAATGGGATAGTTCATTTCCACAGAAAAAATGGTTTCCTGCTGCTAGATAAAAACCAGAGACCAAGCAGTGTTTGTTTTCCAAGTAGGAGACATAGATCTGATGATGGTGTTTCACTAAAATGACTTGTCTGTTAGGCAGAATGACTGATGCAGATGTAATCACTTTAATCTCATTAGTGATATATTAGACAGATTGTTCCCACTGTAATTGTTTTACACCATAGACTTTATGTCTGTTGATAAGAGACCTCTGATATCTGTTATTCTGTATTCCCACATTACACCCTCTAATAACAGCTGCTAGGACTGCTCTCTCTTATCCTTAGCGGAAATCTAAACAACTACAACCACTACTCATATCCTGAGTGTTAACATAATGAATGCCTGCTCCACTGTGTATTTCCCTGGTGGTGTTACTTTAACAAAATCACTTATTTTGCTCATCTTGCTTTTACTGTATGATTCACACAATATCTCTGAGTTGATTCAAAGTCTTTGAAGAGATGTTCCATTTCCTGATCATTCATCTGTTAAAAAAAAAAAAAAAAAAGATGTCAGTATCTTAAGTAGCACACAGGAGGAGAGGCTGAAAGTTAGGTTTTGAGGAAAAGGGATGTACATGTATCTTGGGGACATGGGTGGAAAGAGATTTTGGGAGGTCATGAGGTACCATTCTGCACTAGCTGAAAATTCAGGGTGGTGATTCACCCTAAGATCATAGCTGTTGCAGAAAGGCTGGAATGTCTCTCTGACCATTTGTTTTCTCTTTAGGGTCAAGGACAAACATTTCAGTTTCCCAACCTATTTCCAGAGAAAGAACAAGACGCAGAAACTCGCTCTTTCGATGACTTCAGGGATAAATATATGGAGAAAGAGAAGCAGAAGGAGGAAGGTGACCCCAGACGAGGTGGAGTCCCTGATTGGTTTGGACTTTGAAGCCAGCTGCCTTCCTTTAGGCCCAGAGGGATTTTGATTAGCACAACTTGCACTCTTCTCTTTTTGTAATGATCGAATGTTTATTCTTGAGCAGCCCTTGCTAGCATGTCTTTTTTTTTCTGGCTGTTTGTACATGACTACAACAAAATGGCCCTGAAGAAATAAAAAGGTAAAATAAATCTGACTGCACCAGGTCTTTTCTGTGAACTTGTGGACTGTTTCTAAAATGTGGAATTCCTTGTTGTAATTTCTGACTATGAGAGTGTCATTGTGCCTACCTTTTTTGTGCTGCTGTGGGTTGTTTTGAGTAGAACTTGGGTATTTAATTTCCTAGGATATGTGCAGTTTGTGTTGACTAGAATGTCTAAAAGTCAAGGTAGGTTAGCCAGAGGTGGACTTGGAAGTGTAGAAAACTGGACTATAGGCTCAGGATGTAGGGTTCCCCTATTGTCACTTACTATGTCCTACTATCTTATTGCCTTCCTTGCAGTGGCCCCTCCTGTCCTGGAGAAACACACGTGATCTTAATGTGCTCTTATAACAGTTGTGTGGCATTTTGGGGACAGGCTTGATAGGACAGGTTTGTGACTTTGCACATATGCGTTTGATCCCCTTAAGCATCAAGAAGCAGACAGAGGTGGTGCACATCTCTGCTTGCTGTTGTGCTGTGCAGGTAGCTGTCCTCTGTGGCCAGCCTGCCTTAGGAATGTTTACTGGTGTAGTTGTGCTGGTTTCCTTCCCCACTCCACAGCTACCTTGCAGTGCTGGCAAGTGTTCTGTGTGGACACAGTTGTATTGGCATAGAAATGCTTCTGCCAATGTAGCCTGTGTTGTGCTGAGGACTAATAAAAAGACTCCTTTTACTTTTTCTGATGTAACTGCCTCTACTTCCAAGTTACTGATGCCAGGGTAGTGGTAGAACTTTTCTAGGCCTTCTGGGCTGCCACGTTCAGTGTTTTCATTTCTTGCCTCTGTGGCTGTTTCTCCTCGCTCTGATGAGGATATTTCCTCTTTGTCAATAATGTGGTTTGCTGTTGTGTCAGAAATAGTAGGGGGAAAGGAGGGCTAGGAAGGACTTCACAGATAGAGAAGGGTGTCTCTGCAGGCTGCTGCAACACAGCACGTGCAGGGTTAAATGTATAGCTAATGTTTCCCTGGCTTTTGAATTCTTCCACTTGGAGCAATAGGCAGGATGGTGAATGAGCCAATGCCTTCAACGCTTCTACCCGGGTGCTCTCCTTTATTGTTCTGTGTCTGAACTTCTTGTTTGGACAGCTAGCGAGATGTTTACAAGGAAACAGCTTTTCTCCAGAGAGTCAATCCAAGTAGGATTTTACGCACCCCCTTCTGTTCATTAGTCACCTCCTTATCCCTGCTACTTTCCTTGTGCATGACAGTCCACCTCCTTCTGTGGTTTGTTGCTTACACGCCCCCCCCCCCTTGTCCACTTTCCAAGGGGGATCGTGCATGATCTAAGTTAGCTAGTACTTAAACAGAGAGATGCTCTTAGCGAGGAGGGAGATAAGGAGGATTTGCTACTCCCAGCCTGCCAGCAGAGTTACAATAGCAGATATGGAAAAATACTGACTTCACTGAAAACAGTTCACGTGCTTGGCATATCTGCAAAGGCAACATTTCCAGAGTTTTGTAGTGACATGTGGAGCTCCAGGTTAAATCAGAAGCTGGCCTGCAGATTTAAAGTAGGGTGACTGAATTTGTCTGGGTGCAAGGGTCTCTCTGCTGTACACAGCCTCCTCCTCCCACCTCCTTTGTTTAATACATTTTTTAAAGGAGCTGTTTCTCAAACTCACACATCAGTATGAAGATGACCTATATATGACCTGTATTGTTCCTTCATTATAATACTATGGAATTTGCTATTCTTCACTGTCCTTTGTGGTTATTTCCAATGTGGGTGACTTGATCTTTTTCACCATGGTGGAGATAGAAAGGGCTCATCTAGTGCTGCCATACGTTTTCCTAAATGGTTGGTCAGCTTTGAGCAAATGACAGTCACGTATGTTAGTTCTGGATAAATGAGGCTGCATTAGGTGGAACAGCAAAGATAGGTTTAACCATCACCCTCTGCCTTCTCTATTAGTGGTCAGGAGATACTGGAGCTGCCAGCTTCTGTACTGGTGTTCACCAAGATGAGTGAAATTTATTTGCAGTCCCAAATGTGCTCTAAGCTCAGTGAGTATCAAAAACCCCTGTGCAGGTCTACCATGCTTTGCTACTCTGTGATTTCTCCGTGGGCAATTAATTTCTAGCTCATGTTCAAGGCAGGTTTCTCTTTAAAGTAACACGAGAGGGAAGAAACAGAGATGCAAATACACCCATATCTGCATGAAGCTGCTGTAACCAAATTCTGGCAGATACTCAAGCTGCATAAGAGAGCAATCATGTAATCCTATAGAAGGGTTTGAGTTGGAAGGGACCTAAAAGATCACCTGGTTCCAAGCCACTGTTACTGGGCAGAGACTCATTCATTGATGTTACCGGCCACCTCTAAAACAGTATTCCTGTGAAATTAAGGTAAGATTGAAAAAAAAGAAAAGAGCCAACATTATTTTCCTTTAATTCGCCCAATTGCCATGGAAGTGGGATTAAAAAGATCTCAAGTCTTTCCCAGTCCGTCGTTGAGCAGTGTTTCTGGGGAAGTACTAGTGGTTAGTATGATCTAGTGCTTCAGTGCTTCACAAATCCCATTTCCCAAGCTGTACAGGTGGGCTAAAAGATAACAGAGAGGATACTTCAATATAAAGGCACTGATTGTATTAGGTGTACTAGAGAGAAGTACAGCAAACGAGTGCTGGAACTAGGACAGGGACTCAGAGTTTTTCCTTAGTTTTATTCAATGTACTGTGCTCCTTCCAGCACATCATGCTGTTTGTTTTGGGTGATGTAAAGGGTCAGTAGCTCCTCTGAAGTTACATCTAGCCCTGCTGTCAGAGGTGTTGAGCTGCCCTTGGCTGTGTTACTGGCCATACCTGTGGGCCAAGGATGTGCATATATGCAATGAACAACTTCTCTAAGGACCAGAGTAATGGCTTGGTTGAGGAGACTGATGTTCACTGTGGTGCAGGAGAAGCCACGTCCTGCCCTTGGCGTGCACAGCTCTGCAGCTGCTGCTTTCTCTGACGTGCAAGGGAGATGCTGAACGCAATTCCTTTCCGCTCTGAACGTCTGCAACCCCCCAAAGAGAGTGAAGTGCTGGAACAGCCAGCGGATGTGCGGTTGGCTGTGCTGGCCAGCCTGGTGGAGAAAGGCATCTGGCTATGCTGAGTGGATGCTATCTCAGCAATACCATCCAGCTATCCCAGCAGTACCAGGACACTTCAGAGGGAACATGCAATTGCTTGTGGTTTTTTTTTTTTTTTTTTTTTTTTAATAAACAAAAATGAATTGCAGAGACAGTGCTATCTTAAGTGACTCCCCTAACACTACACCTTAGAAATGAGTTTTGTGTTGTAGGTGATGCTCTGATAGGCACTAGGGACAGGTTCCTGTAGATTACAAAGGTACCAAGTCTTGTAACCATTTGTTGTCACCTGAACCTTGCTATGTGACCTCAGAGGGTTCAGCACAGCTAACCACAGTAAGTGGTTAGACAGAAATCTGTTGCAAGATTTATCTGCTGTGTTACCCAAACTATAGAATCATAGAATGGTTTGGATTGGAAGGAACCTTAAAAATTGTCTAGTCCATCAATCTTGCAATGAGCAGGGATGCCTTCATCTAGATCAGGTTGTTCAGAGCGCAGTCCAACAAGTCCTTGAATGTTTCTAGGAATGGGGCATCCACCACCTCTCTGGGAAACCTGTTCCAGTGTTACACCATCCACATGGTAAAAATCTTCCTTACATTTAATCTGCACTGACTCTCTTCTAGTTTCAAACCATTATCCCTGGTCCTATTGCAACAGTCCCTGCTAAAAAATCTATCCCCATCTTTCTTATAGGCCCCCTTTGAATACTGAAAGACTGCAATGAGGTCTCCACAGAGTCCACTCCAGGTTGAACAACCCCAATTTGCTCAGCCTTTCCTCACGGGAGAGGTGTTCCACCCTTCTAATCTCTTCGTGCCCCAATTCAGGAGCAGGACCTTGCACCTGGCCTTGCTGAATCTCACAAGATTCCCATTTCTTGATCTTGTCCAGATCCTTCTGAATGGCATCCCATCCCTCAGGTGTGTCAATGCATCACTCAACTCCCATACTGGGACCCCCACATTATGCATTGGGTAACAGAAAAATGTTTCGATGATTTGATCTACTCTTGACCCACTGCCATTAGCAGTGCTGGGTGAATGAAGCAGTAGGAAAATTTGGTTTACTTAATCCAACATGGATTTGCTGTGGAAAATACCTTCATGGCTGGGGAATTCCTGCACCTTCCAGGTTATCCCAATGACATCAAAGCTGGGGTTTTTATTTCAGGAGAAGTATTTTACTTATTTGAATTTTCAGGCTGTAGGACAGGCTATTGCTTCTTCAGCTCTGCTGTGTTTGTGGAACAAGTCGCAGAGAGTGGTGAGGGTTGGAGAGAGGACGTCTGCTCAACACAAAGCAAACACTATTTTTCCTGAGAGGACTGAAAGCTTGTAAAACCATTATCTTGACAATGCTGCTTTCTCCTGAAGTAGAGTTCAAGGACTGCTCAGAGTCCAATTTAAAGCAGTTGTCTGCGAATGGCTTTCCAGGGTGGCTTATATGCCAAGGCTCGTAGGTGCCACGGCTAAAAAGGAACATTGTGATAATCCCTTTCGACCTCCTGAATGACACACACCATAAAATTTCATGCTGTACTTTCTGTGCATAGGCCAGAAATTTGTGGTTGAATGTTACCTGGAATAGATTTCAAGGTTTGAACTTGACCAGCATTGCAGGACCAAGTAATTTTCCTTGAATAAGCTGGGCCCAAACAGCAGGAAAGTCACCAACATGTTGTCATTTGTCCTGTGAATTACGCAGAGTGGTGGTAATAGGGAAAACTGAGCGTTGCTGCTCAGGAATCATGTGTTTGTAGAGAAGGGAAGTAATTTCTGTAAATATTATTTTCTTTAAATGCAAAAGGTTTTAGACTAGATAAGATGACATAGTAGTTAAGCCATTTCTTCTGAAGTGATTTATGACTGTTTAGACAGCATTTAGCTCTTTGTGTATAGTATGGCTTATCAA